ATAAATAATGGCGATATATGCACAACACTGTGAAGGTGCTGGAAGCCACAGCCTTGTACACTTTAAAGGTGCTAAAATGATGGATTTGACGTCAAGTGCATTCTCCCTTGATAATGATAAAAAATAACAAGCTTCTGTGATGTAAGGGCCTCAGGACCCTCAGCAGCTGAAGATCCTCAGTTGCCAGGGCTCCCCGGACCTCCTGCGGGGATGTGGTGAGGGTAGACCCTGTGCCAGTCACTGGAGGATCGGGATGGCGGGAGGAGGGGGCAGATACTGTGTCCTGTGGCAGCAGAGCCACGAGCCCAGCAGGGCCACCAACACACAGAATAGGGAGGAGCTGAGGAAGCCTTCATAGAGGCAGTGACGTCTCAGTACCATCTGGAAGGAGGAGTTTAGAAGTTCACCAAGCAGACTGAGAGGTAGGGAGCTTGAGCACACCCAGGGAGGAACTGGGGGCCGCAGGAACTGGACACCCAGGGAGGAACTGGGGGCAGCAGGAACTGAAGCTGGGTAGGGCCAGGGCCAGGTCCCAGGGCCCCTGGTGCTGAACCCAAGGCCTTGCACTTGATTTCTGGAGCAGTAAAGGCCGTTGAAGGTAAGTTTTAAACTGGCGTGTCATGTTCAGGGTTAGGCTTTTAGGGTGTTTTGACATCCTGTGCGTGGTGGGTAGATTCAAAAGGATAAGCCTAGAGGCAGGAGTGGTCCGTGCCCACCTGTGCTGGGCGCCTGCGTCTGCATCGCTTCCATCACCTTCCAGCAGCCCTCCTGGCTGCCTTCACTTCCCTTCCACTCTGCTGCTCTGCTGGCTGAGCTCTGGGTTCTCCCATCCAGGTGCCCACTCAACCACTCCCCTTGAGGGTCTCAGGCTCGACAGTCCAACCTCCATCACCTCCCACCCAAACCCACCCTCTCCCAAGACTCGGTGGGCTTGGCTGGGACCCCAGGGGCTTCGGGGATGTCAGTCATTCCTACTGAATACCTGTCATGAGCCATGCTGGGTGGTGGAGTTTAATATTAAAAGGGCAGATTTGGCCCCATGCAGTGGCTTATGCCTATAATCCCAGCACTTCACTAGGCTGCTTGAGCCTAGGAGTTTGAGAACAGCGTGGGCAACATAACGAGACCCTACAGAAGGAGCAGGATTGCAAATAAAAAAAGAAGAGAAAAAGAGACCCTGTTTCTACAAAGAAAACACAAAACTTTGCTGGCCATGGTGGTACATGCCTGTAGCCCCAGCTACTCTGGAGGGGCTGAGGTGGGAGGATTGCTTGAGCCCAGCAGGGTGAGACTGCAGTGAGCTGTGATTGTGCCACTGCACTCCAGCCTGGGCAACAAAGCCAGACTCTGTCTCAAAAAAAAGAAAAGAAAGGGCTGGTACAGTGGCTCACGCCTGTAATCCCAGCACTTTGGGAAGCCAAGGATGGGCAAATCACCTGACATCAGGAGTTTGAGACCAGCCTGGTCAACATGGTGAAACCCGATTGTACTAAAAATAGAAAAAATAGCTGGGCGTGATGGCGGGGGCCTATAATCCCAGCTACTCAGGAGGCTGAGGCAGGAGAATCGTTTGAACCCAGGATGCGGAGGTTGTAGTCAGCTGAGATTGCATCATTGCACTCCAGCCTGGGTGATAGGGCAAGACTCTAACTCAAAAAAAAAAAAAAAGAAGAAACAAGTGATAGTTCTCCTTTCCCCTCTCCTTTGCAGTTTGGTGTGTGTCCTTCAAAACACTGTGACCGTTCAGCCCCTTACATTATACGCAATGAGGGGATAAGCATAGATATATCTATATTCTGTATCTTGCTTTTTTCACTTACAAGTTTATCATCCTTTCATGTCTGCCATTCTATAAAGCCACCTCATCTTTTTTCTTTTTTTTTTTTGAGACGGAGTCTCGCTCTGTCACCCAGGCTGGAATGCAGTGGCGCAATCGTGGCTCACTGCAACCTCCACCTCCCAGGTTCAAGCCATTCTCCTTCCTTAGCCTCCCAAGCAACTGAGACTACAGGCATGTGCCACCACACCCAGCTAGTTTTTTGTATTTTTGGTAGAGTCGGGGTTTCCCTGTATTAGTCAGGATGGTCTCAATCTCCTGACATCATGATCTGCCCACCTTGGCCTCCCAAAGTACTGGGATTACAAGTGTAAGTCGCCACGCCCAGCCAGCCACCTAATCTTTTTAATGGTCATGGTGTTCCATGGTTTGGAGGTCTCATCATTCACTCACCACCTTCTCTGGGTGGTTATGTAGGAAATTTACAATTTTTTTTCCTGCTACCCTGAGCATCCTTGCCCTTGTAGCTTAGGACTCTTGTGGGAGTGTTTCCATCAGGCAGACAGGCAGACAATACCTAGCAGGAATAAATGATCAGTCTTGTGTTTATTACAAAAGCAGGAGCAACCAATAAGCTGGAGCTAGACCTGGCAGGCAGGCAGAGGAGGCTCTGGAGGGCTTCTGCAAGCTGCGGCATGTGACTTCGGGCTCCCTTCAATTGTGCGCAGCCAGTTCCAGTTCCACCCAGCTCATCCCATGGTTTGTCGTGCCTCAGTCCCAATCCTGAAGCACTCAAGAAAAAAACTCATAAACTCATAGATGTCCCCCTCCCCACACACACACAAGATACAAATGGCTCCAGTCATTCTGCTTAGGCTTCAGTGACCCCTCCACTCCCCATTCCCGGTTCTCTCTCTCTCTCTTTTTTTTTTTTTGAGATGGAGTCTCCCTCTATCACACAGGCTGGAGTGCAGTGGCACGATCTCGGCTCACTGCAACCTCTGCCTCCTGGGTTCAAGAGATTCTTCTGCCTCAGCCTCCCAAGTAGTTGGGACTACAGGCATGCGCCACCATGCCTGGCTAGTTTTTGTATTTTTAATAGAGACGGGGTTTCACCAAATTGGCCAGGCTGGTCTTGAAATCTTGACCTTACGATCTGCCTGCCTTGATCTCCCAAAGTGCTGGGGTTACAGGCGTGAGCTTCCACGCCCAACCTTGTTTCTGGTTCTCATGAGTCTGAGGGACTTCTTCTAGGGATTAAAGGGGTGTGGCAGAGATGACTTCTCAGCTAGGACGGTCTCCATCTTTCTTTGGGTGAGTGGAACAGGTGATCCTGCTGGGTCGGGTGGGGTGGGAATGTGGGTGTGACCGGGCTCTGGGTGGCACTTCGTCCCCCGCAGACATGACCCAGTTTGTTTCGTATTCCTCGCTCGGTGTCCTCTGCTGCCACCCTCCTCCTGTCCCCGTCCTTCGAGGCAGAACCTCTGCCCCTTGAGAGCCCCTTCAATGGTGCTTTCTTTCCCTAGGATTTTTGTCTTTTTTCATTTTTTTTCCTTTAAACTCAGTGGCAAAAATCCCAAGGCCTTTTGGTCCAACGGCGGCAGTTATCACTAAGTGGTTTATTTCCTTGAGACCTAGCCAAGGGTCTCAGAGCCAATGCTGCTGGTGGAACTATTCCATCTGAATGAGATAGATTGGATATGTCTGGATCCTTCCAGCTGCGTCCTTCTGATCAGTGCAAAGCAGCCTTTTTTTTTTTTCATAACATTTTTGAGCAATACCATCTGAGGCTGGCTGGAGGCATAGGGAGATGGCAGGCAGGCAATGGAGCCTGGCTGAGGGTTCTCTCAGCAGTAACTTCCTTTTCCCCTTCCTGTGCCTAGTCCTGTGTGTTAGGGGACTAATTGTGGGTTTTTGTTTTTTTTTTTTAAGATGGAGTCTCCCTCTGTCACCCAGGCTGGAGTGCAGTGGTGCAATCTTGGCTCACTGCAACTTCTGCCTCCCGAGTTCAAGCAATTCTCCTGCCTCAGCCTCCCAAGTAGCTGGGATGGCAGGAGTGTGCCACCATATGTGGCTAATTTCTGTATTTTTAATAGAGATGGGGTTTTGCCATGTTGGCTAGGCTAGTCTCAAACTCCTGACCTCAGGTGATCCACCCACCTCAGCCTCCCAAAGGCATGAACCTTCCAAAGGCATAAGCCACCGTATCTGGCCAAGGAAATTAATTTTTGCCTGCATCTCAGGGTTATCGAGTAACAGGCCGGCTGGGTTTATGGGCCAGCATGTTCCTGGCGGCAGCTGCTCACTCATTAACATTTCTGGAAGTGCTGTGTGTCTGGTTAAACTGTGAATGCTTTGCAAAGTCACGAGTCCTGTCACTGAGCAGAGGTGACACTGCCAGCCAGCCCTGCTGTGCACACTGACAGAATGAGTGAGCGAGCTTCCCACTGATGGAATCCAAATGGAACTGTCGCTGCAGTGGCAACGGTGGGGCCACTTCTGCATTGAATACTACTCTGCCCCTTCACTGGCTATGTAATGGCAGATGGCCATTTCCTAGACTCAAATGAGACATTGCCTACTTGGCGTGGCTGCTGTGAGCATGAAATGGGATCATGTGCAGAACAGCCACGCATGGTCCTTGGTGTTTGACAGATCTTGGGTCCCTCTGTGGTCCCAGGCAGACCTTGGGGGTGGGGCGCCAAACAGATGGTCAAGTTGAGGGGCTTGGGACTGTTTCACTGCTCTGAAAAAGAGCAGAAACGTTGGCAGCAGGACTCTATTGTCCAACATGGGGCTGTCTCTGGTGGTGAGGCGTTCATCCCAATGCTCTATGCTTCTTATACAAATTAGATATAGGTGAAGCCACCCATTAAGCAATCCAGCCTTTCTGGGACTATTCAGGTTGCCTCTGGGTCCACTAAACGCAGTTAATTTCCCCCAAGTCCCCTCCAAGTTGAAGGAGGCTCCCTTCCTTCCTCCTCCCACTGGCTTCTCCCAGCCTCCCTGACTCCTGTACTCTGCAATCTGCTCCCCACCACGGGGTGAGGAAGACGAGCTACGCCGTGATGCAGCTGCCCTGCACGCAGCCACATTGTAGGCTGGAGATGCCACTGTCCCGCTTGGTTTAATGATCAATTAGTTTCTTGCCAGGAAGCCCTTTCTGACCTGGTTTGCCCCTCAGTCCCTCCAGCTCAGACCTGGTGCCTGCAGCAGGACAGCCATGGCCGCCAACGCCACCAGCGACCTCCACGCTCCCAGGATGCAGCTGAGCGTGGCTGACATCGTCGTCATCACCGTGTATTTTGCTCTGAATGTGGCTGTGGGCATATGGGTAAGGGGAACTGTCGGGGCGGCCAACTGGGCTGTCAGGGTGGGTGCTTGTGGTGGCAACCGGAGTTCAGCGTGTCCCTGTGGTTTCAGCATTGGTCCCACTGTGGTCCTCCTCCCAGCCTGGGGTAGATTTGCTTGGAGACCTTGACCAAGCCCTTTCTCTCTTTGGGTAATGGCAAAGTGAGGAGGAGGAATGTCTCTCTAACGAGTAACTGGGCTTTTGCGCTGCTGCCCAGCTGGAGTCCCTGGGCTTGGCCCATCAGCCTCCTGGGCCCAGTCTCTGCGGTGTAAGTGTCTCCCGTCTGCCCTGAGCAGTAGGCTCCCAGCGGTTCCCTGGCTGCACCTCAGAGCTGCTGGATCAGAATCTGGAGGCAGGGAGGCCTGGAGCTGGGGACCTTGATTTTTAACAAGCTCCCTGGAGATTCGTGTCCTGTGGCCTAGCCCTAGATTCTAAGCTGGTTCTTTCTCCCTTGATAAGAATGAGAAGTGAAAAGTGATCTGACCCCATGCACAGATTGCAGGGGCAACGGTGCCTCTGGGGACAGGCCGTCCTATGTGCAGATGGAGAACCTGAGGCTGTGGCCCTGCGGTGAGGGGAGGGCTCTCCTTTGGTGGATCATGGAGGCCTTCCCGAAGGAAGGTGGACACAACCTGGTCCAGGTCACCTGCTCCACGCTTAGCACCTGGGGAGGTTGGGCCACACTTCCTTGGGCCCAGAGGTCCCCAGGCCAGAGTCCCTGAGCCCTGACAACCTCCTGGGAAGAATGAGTGCCCCTTCTTATCTTCTGTTACCCCTGGCTTAAGCCCGCAGGCCTGGCAAACAGGAGACTGGTCACATCCCCTCAGCTTTCTGGGCCTCAGTGTTTTGATCTGTGACATAAAGACACCACCTACCTGGGGTGAGATCTCCTATCAAGAGGCCCACATGGGACCAGGTGGTGGTGGTGGTGGCTGTGGCACTGGTGATTATAATGGTAGCAGCCACAGTAGTTAAAATTAATTATTACAGGTTGAATTTCAAAAATCTGAAACCCAAAATCTGAAACATTTTGAACACCAACATGGTACTCCAAGGAAATGCTCACTGGAGCATCTCAGATTTAGGATTTTTGGATTGAGAATGCTCAACTGGCAGGTATTCTGCAAATATCCCCAGGACTGAAAGAGTCCGAAACCCAAAACGTTTCTGGTTCTGAGTATTTCGGATAAGGGCTCCTCAACCTATATGTGAGTAAATATTAACTCACAAGTAGCCCAGTGAAGCTGACTTCTAGTCTTGGTTCTGCTCTGCGTACCTAAGTGAAGTCACTCAGCCTCTGTGGGCTTCGGTTTCCTCAAACACGCAATGCAGGTTTCTGTGCAGCCCGCGTCTCAGGGCTGTTCCAAGGAGCAAGGGGCCAATGGAAGTGAAAGTCTCTTATAAACTGTGATGTGCTATATTCCTGTAAGAGTTGGTGGCTAGAATTCAGAGGAGAGGGTTCCCACATGGGACAGAACAGGCAGTGGAGGGTTTCTGCATGAGCTCTGAAGAGGGAAAGAGGAGGAGAGACAAAGCTGTCCTGGCTAGCACAGGGTGGGATTTAGTTAGAAGTGCACGTCTAAGAGAGATGCTCTGGGCTGGGTGCGGTGGCTCACGCCTGTAATCCCAGCACTTTGGGAGGCTGAGGCTGGTGGATCACCTGAGGTCAGGAGTTCAAGACCAGCCTGGCCAACATGGTGAAACCCCATCTTTACTAAAAATACAAAAATTGACCGGGCGTGGTGGCGTGTGTGTGTAATCCCAGCTACTCGGGAGGTTGAGACAGGAGAATTGCTTGAACCCAGGAGGCTGGGGTTGCCGTGATCATGCCACTGCACTCCAGCTTGTACAATACTCTGTTTCAAAAGAAAAAGAAAGGTGTTCTTTTTTTTTTTTTGAAAGAGAAAAAGGAGAGAAGGAGAGGAAGAAAGGGAAAGAAAAAGAGGGAGAGAGAACAGGAATATTGCTTTATTCTAAAAATGGATATTAATAATGGCCGATCAATATTTTGTGTAAAGTGGAGAATGTATATTTTGTGTATTCAAAGTGGAGAGCTCTATAAATATTTATTAAGTTTACTTGTTCCGGATCTGAGTTCAAGTCCTGGTTGTCCTCATCAATTTTCTGTCTCGTTGAGTCTAAATCTCTTTATGGGTCTTATGTATCTGGGTGTTAGGGTTATTAGCTCTTATTGTTGCATTGATCCTTTTACCACTGTATCTTTGTTGCTTTGAAATGTATTTCATCAAATGCGAGAATTGCAACTCCTGCTTTTTGTTTATCTATTTATTTTTGCTCTCCATTTGGTTGGTAAATCTTTCTCCAACCCTTTGTTTTGAGTCTTTGTGTATCTTTGGATATAAAATGGGTCTGGATGCAGCATACCGTTAGGTTTTGGGTGTATCTTTTGATTGGGGGATTTAGTAGATTTAAATTTAGGGTTACGGGTTCCAAAGTGGCTCCTGCTGGAGGTCATGGCGCTCGCAAAGGCGAGGTCATCAGTTCAAGGCTAACCTCATAAGCTCAAACTGATTGGCAAAAAAAAAAAAAAAAAAAAAAAATTTAGCGTTACTAAATTTAAATCGACCGAAAAAAAAAAAAGAAAAAAAAAGGTGTTCTGGGCAGCTGATGCCAGGCCCTTTGTAGCCCAGTAACTTGGGCCACCAGCCCTTGTTGCCTGTGACCCACCTCTCTCAGCTCAGCCTTGCTGTTTGCAGGCTGATGCCCTGGGCAGTAGGGCTGTAAGATTTCTGTCCTGTCCCTCCAAGCAGGCCAGGCTGGCCTAGCTGGGAGCAGCTGGCCAGCGAGCAGTGAGCACATCCAGAAAAGATCGGAACCAGACAGGGAGGATGCTGGAGCTGCATCCCACAGGGAGAATCAGGCAGAGCAAGCCGGGCAGATGCCGCTCTGCCAAGATGTTTAGATGGTGGGCCTGGGAGAGTCGAGGGGAGGGCCTTTAAGGAAGATATGTTCCTGAAGGAGGGGACTTTGAGCTGAGCCTTTGCATTCATTAAGGTATCTGTTAACAAGTGACAAAACCACTTTCAAATGAGCTCTAATACAGGAAATGAGGCTGGGCGCCGCGGCTCAGGCCTGTAATCTCAGCATTTTGGGAGGCCAAGGTGGGTGGATCAGCTGAGGTCGAGAGTTGGAGACCAGCCTGGCCAGCATGGAGAAACCCCATCTCTACTAAAAATATAAAAATCAGCAGGGCGTGGTGGCGCATGCCTGTAATCCCAGCCACTTGGGAGGCTGCAGGAGAATCGCTTGAACCTGGGAGGTGGAAGTTGAGGTGAGCCAAGATCGCACCATTGCACTCCAGCCTGGGCAACAAGAGTGAAACTCTGTTTAAAAAAAAAATACAGGAAATGAGCCAGGCACAGTGGCTCATGCCTGTAATCCCCACACTTTGGGAAGCTGAGGCAGGTGGATCACCTGAGGTCAGGTGTTCGAGACCAGCCTGGCCAATGTGGTGAAACCCCGTCTCTACTAATAATATAAAAATTAGCTGGGTGTGGTGGTGCACGCCTCTAATCCCAGCATCTCGGGAGGCTGAGGCTGGAGAATCGCTTGAACCTGGGAGGTAGAGGTTGCAGTGAGCCGAGATCGTGCCATTGCACTTCAGCCTGGACAACAAGTGTGAAACTCTGTCTCCAAAAAAAAAAAAAAAAAATGAACACAGGCAATGTAATTGTGTCCAGCAATAAAAAGGGCTTCAGGTGCAGTATGATCCAGGGATTCACAGCATTATCAAGGATGCCGCTATGCCTCACTGCAGTTCTCTCAGCTTCCATCCATGTGTAGCTCTGTTCTAAGCCCAGTTCCCCTCATGTCCTGAGGTGAAATGACCAGCCTGGTGATTGAGCCTGAGTTAAAATCCAGGGTGTGTTTGGATTGCTAGATGGGTGTGTTTTCATCTCTGAGACCATCAGTTTCCTCACTGATAACATGACATCTACTTTATAGAGCAATTTCGAGGACTAAGAACTCCACACAGGTCAAGCAGTTGAAGCCAACTCTGGCATATGGGACCCTCAGTGAGCCTTAAATGGGTATATGTGGCCCCCAGAAACTGCCAGCAGCCCCCAGAGCCCCATCTTTTTTGCTCACCCCCAAGGTGGCCAGAACACAATCCCAGCTGCGCTCCGACTGTACCCTCTTAAGTGAGTGGCTGTCCCTGAACCAGGCACCACAGCGAAGGAATGTGATAGACTCTGCAACTTAGATGTCTTCGGGTCCCCAGAATCAGAGATTGTGTCAGGACCACACAAACCAATTTCTGGTAAAGGTGAGGCCCCTTTAGGAAGGAAAATGGATATAAGAAGGCAACAGGCAATGCCCACTATAGGTTTGAAAGATGAGAAGGAAAAAGCATGGGCTGTAATCGGAGATGCTCTGGAGTTCTACAGTGCACGGAGTACACATCTGGACATGGCCATCCCCGCCAAGACTGTGAGTCTTCAGACTGTGCTGCATTTAGCACAGCAAGATCATGGCACACAAAGAGAAAGTGGTGGGAGCTGGAGCTGAAGAGAAACAGGCAGGAGCCACATCAGAAGTTCTGAAGCTGGGTGTGGTGTTGTTCACGTGGTTTCTGCTACTCAGGAGGCTGAGGCAGGGAGATCGCATGAGCCCAGGAGTTCAAGATCAGCCTGGACCACATAATGAGACCCTGTCTCAAAAACAATAATAATAATAATAAATAGGTAAATAAATCCTTGAATGCTGAGTCCATATGATTAAGTCAATCACGCTGAGTACAGGGCAGGGCAATTAAAGTCAGGAAGAAAGAGACCTGCGTATTGACAGATATATTTTGTGACCCAGCCTTATGTATGTTCTGAAAAGAAATACAAAATCTATATCTAAATACCTGTCCTATGCCCCTCTTTTCAAATTCTTCTGTTTTTTTTCTTCTTTTTTTCTTTTTTGAGACAGAGTCTTGCTCTGCAGCCCAGGCTGGAGGGCAATGGTGCCATCTCAGCTCACTGCAGCCTCAACTTCCTGGGCTCGAGTGATCCTCCCACCTCAGCCTCTTGAGTAGCTGGGATTATAAGCATGCACCACCATGCCCAGCTAATTTTAAAACTTTTTCATTTTTAAAAGATTTTTAAATTTTATATTTTATGGCAAGAACTGAATTTTTTTTTTCATTTTTAAAATTTATTTATTTTTAAATTTTATATTTTTAAAAACCTTTTTATAGAGACAGAGTCCCTCTATGTTGCCCAGGCTGGTCCGGAATGCCTGGCTTCAAGCAACCCTCCTTCCTTGGCCTCCCAAAGTGTTGGGATTATAGGCATGAGCCACCACACCTGGCTGATTTAACCTCAATTCCTCCCATCCAAACAGCACTAAGGAGGGGCTTGAAAAATCCACATACTCACTGACCCTTATAGAACACTTACCAGATGCCAGGCAGCATTCTCAGCCTGTTACATGTATTAGTTCATTAAAGCTCATCAAAACCCTATGAGGGTTGGGAAGCCTAAGCAGGCAGATCACTTGAGGTCAGGAATTAGAGATCAGCCTGGCCAACACAGCTAAACCTGTCTCTACTAAAAACACAAAAAATTAGCCAGGTGTGGCGGCTGAGGCCTGTAACTCAAGAGGCTAAGGGAGGAGAATCGCTTGAACCCGGGAGGCGGAGGTTGCAGTGAGCTGAGATTCTGTCACTGCATTCCAGCCTGGGTGATAGAGTGAGACTCTGTCTCAAAACACAAAACAAAGCAAAACCCATTGAGGCTGGGCGCGATGGCACACACCTGTAATCCCAGCACTTTGGGAGGCTGCGGAGAGCGGATCACAAGGTCAGAAGATAGAGATCATCCTGGCTAACATGGTGAAACCCCTGTCTCTTCTAAAAATACAAAAAATTAGCTGGGAGTGGTGACATGCCCCTGTAGTCCCAGCTATTCAGGAGGCTGAGGCAGGAGAATTGCTTGAACCCGGGAGGCGGAGGTTGCGGTGAGCCAAGATTGCGCCACTGCCCTCCAGCCTGGGTAACAGAGCAAGACAAAAAACAAAAAACAAAGAACAGAAAAAAACAAAAAACAAAACCTCATGAAGGAAGAACTTTTTAGGATCACATTACAGAGGAAGGAACCAAGGCATCCACATTCAATAACTTGCCTAAGGTAACACAGCCAGGAAGCAGAGAAGACAGGATTTTCCTCCAGACACACCAATTGCAAATTTTTTTTTTTTTTTTTTTTTTTAGAAAGAAAGAAAAAAAAAAAGGAGTGAAGGAAAGGAAGAAAGAGGAAGAAAAAGAGGGAGAGAAAACAGGAATGTAGCTTTATTCTAAAAATGGGTATTAATAATGGCCGATCAATATTTTGTGTATTTAAGGTGGAGAATGTATATTTTGTGTATTTAAAATGGAGAGCTCTATAAATATTTATTGAATTTACTTGTTCTGGATCTGAGTTCAAGTCCTGGATATCCTTATTAATTTTCTGTCTCATTGAGTCTAAATCTCTTTATAGGTCTTATGTATCTGGGTGTTAGGGTTGTTAGCTCTTAATTGTTGCATTGATCCTTTTACCACTATATCTTTGTTGCTTTGAAATCTATTTTGTCAGATGCGAGAATTGCAACTCCTGCTTTTTGTTTATTTATTTATTTTTGCTCTCCATTTGGTTGGTAAATCTTTCTCCATCCCTTTGTTTTAATCTTTGTGTATCTTTGGATGTGAAATGGGTCTGGATATAGCGTATCATTAGGTTTTGGCTGTATCTTTTGATTGGAGGATTTAGTCAACTTAAATTTAGGGTTACTGCCATTTGATGTTAACTGGCTATTTTACCTATTCATTGATGTAAATTCTTCTTTATGTTGATGCTATTTACTTTTTGGTATATTTTTAGAAAGGCTAATACTGGTTGTTTCTTTCTATGTGTAATGCTTCTTTCAGAAGCTCTTGTAAAGCAGGCCTGGTGGTAATAAAATCTCTGAGTACTTGCTTGTTCATAAAAGATTTTATTTTTCCTTCAGTGTGAAGCTTAGTTTGGCTGGATATGAAATTCTGGGTTGAAAGTCCTGTTCTTTAAGGATGTTGAATATTGGCCCCCACTCTCTTCTGGCTTGTAGGGTTTCTGCTGAGAGATCTGCTGTAAGTCTAATAGGCTTCCCTTTGTGGGTAACCTGACCTTTCTCTCTGGCTGCCCTTAGTATTTTCTCCTTCGTTTCAACCCTGGTGAATCTAACAATTATGTGCCTTGGGGTTGCTCTTCTTGAGGAATATCTTTGTGGTGTTCTCTGTATTACCTGTTCTCAGGTAATACAGAGAACACCTGTTGTGCTGCTTTGCTAGATTCAGAAAGTTTTCCTGAATAATATCCTGAAGAGTATTTTCCAGCTTGGATTCATTCTCTTTGTCATATTCAGGTACACCTATCAAACATAAATTAGGTCTTTTCACATAGTCCCATAATTCTTGGAGACTTTGCTCATTCCTTTTTATCCTTTTTTCTCTATTCCTGTCTTGTCTATTTTGTCAGATTTTTTATTCATCTACCCGGAAGACAAAATTCTATCCTCCCCCTAAACAAAAGGCATGTGGGAATACATGGGTGAGAAACTGACTGCATCTGTTCTTTTTATAAAAATTGAGATAAAATTTACATAATACACAACTCATCATTTTAACCATTTTAAAGTGCAATTCATGGCTTTTTGTACATTTGCAATGCTGTGCAACCATTACCTGTAGCTAGCTCCAGAACATTTTCATCACTCCAAATGGATACCTGTCCCCATCAGCAGTCCAGCACTGCTCTTCCTGCTCCCCAGCCCCTGGCAACCACTCATCTGCTTCCTAGCTCTCTCTATACATTTGCCTGTTCTGGAAATTTCATATAAACAGAATCATACAAGTCGTGGCCTTTGGTGTTTGTCTCTGTTCATGAAGCATCACATTGTCAAGGTCCATCCAAGCTGGACATGCCTCAGAGTTTCATTCCCAAGATATTCGTTATTTTTTTTGCAACAGGATTTCACTCTGTTGCCCAGGTTGGAGTGCAGTGGCACAATCACTGCTCACCACAGCGTCCACCTCCTGGGCTCAAACAATTGTCCCACCTCAGTCTCCTAAGTAGCTGGGACCACAGGTGTATTCCACCATGCCCTGCAAATTTTTGTCTTTTTTGTAGACATGGGGTCTCACTATGTTGCCCAGGCTGGTCTTGAACTCCTAGGCTCAAGTGACCCGCTTGCCTCAGCCTCCCAAAGTGCTGGGATTATAGGCATGGGCTACTGCACCCAGCAGAACTCCATTTGTTTTGAAAACTGAATAATATTCCCTTAAATAGGCTATACTGCATTTTGTTTATTCATCAGCCAATAGAAATGAGTTGTTTTCCCTTTTGGCTCTTATGAATGATGCTGCTATGAACATTCCTGTAGAGGTTTTTGAGCGGATGTGCGTTGTCAGTTCTTTTGGATATATACCTAGGAATGGAACTTCTGAGTCATATGGTGATTCTATGCTTAACCTTTTGAGGAGCTGCTACGCCGTTTCTGCAGCAGCAGCCCCGTTCTACATTCCCACCAGCAGTGCACGGGCTTCCAACTCCTGCCTCTTCTTTCTGTCCTTGCAGTCCTCTTGTCGGGCCAGCAGGAACACAGTGAAGGGATACTTCTTGGCAGGCCGGGACATGACATGGTGGCCGGTGAGTGCACCCTGACTTCTCACACTCCCTCCTTTGTCCATGGGGCTGTGTCTGACACCTAGATTGGCTGGCACCTGCATCTCTGAGCCAGTCCAATTCAATGGAGCAGGCCAGAGGCTGGCAGGAGGTCCTGAGGGGCGTAGGACTGAGCTGCTAGAAAGGGTGTAAAGGGCAGGGGCTTTGGAGTTCGAAACTTATATCTGCTCCTTGGCTGTGCAGCTAGTCACGGGTAGAACTCACACCCCGGGTTCCTCATCCATGAAGTGGGGCTAGGACCCTGCTTAGGTTTGTGAGGATGGAGAAGCTGTTAGGCCCAGGGTGAGTCTGGCGCAGTGAGCCTGTGCTGATGTGTTTCCCTTTCTCTCCTCCAGATCGGAGCCTCCCTCTTTGCCAGCAGCGAGGGCTCTGGCCTCTTCATTGGACTGGCAGGCTCAGGCGCGGCAGGAGGTGTGGCTGTGGCAGGCTTCGAGTGGAATGTGAGCCCTGGAGGACAGGCAGCCTGTGGGAGGGCTGGGTCACAGGGTACACGGTCACCGTGACCAGCCCTGAAGGGGGGCAGCTCCCAGCGGCTGGTGTCAACCGATGTCCAGGTGGGCTCTGGGCAGTGCTGTTCCTGGGCCAAATCGTGTCTTCAGAATACCAAGGTGCTGGATGGCACAACTGGCAGGGAGCTGTGGGCCTTGTCCCAGGCCCAGAGAGGGGAAGGAACCACCCAGTGTCTCATAGCAAGTCAGGAGTGGCTGGGGGAAGCCAGCCTCCAGATGGCTTGTCCCAGCCATACCTGGTGTGTGTCTGCAGCGTGTCTGCAGCAGAGCTGTAGGTGCTGCACTTGCAGTCCTCACCTGCCTCTGTCCCCACAGGCCACATATGTGCTGCTGGCGCTGGCGTGGGTGTTCGTGCCCATCTACATCTCCTCGGAAGTGAGTCTACTCATGGGGCCTCCAGCCAGGGCGCTGGGCCTTGGTATAAGTTGCTGGTAGTAATGGGCAGGACTACTGTGGCCTCACATCAGGCGTGTGAACTCTCAGGCCTGGGCTTGCTATTAGCCCAACTAACATTTCTATCAACCTGTTAAGGTATGTCCCCTCGGACCTCAGCCTAGGTGCCTTCTTGGCTGGTTTCCACTGCCCTGACTGCTGCATCTCTGGAATAATGTCCCATCCAGCTGGGCACAGTGGCTGCACACCTGGGCCACACACCTAGGCCACACACCTGGGCCTCACACCTGGGCCGCACACCTGGGCATCACACTTGAACTGCACACCTGGGCCTCACACCTGGGCTGCACGTGTGGGCCTCACACCTGGGCCTCACACTTGGATTGCGCACCTGGGCCTCACACCTGGGCCGCCCACCTGGGCCTCACACCTGGACTGCACACCTGGACTGCACACCTGGACCACACACCTAGGCCTCACATCAGGGCCTCACACCTGGACTGCACACCTGGACCGCACACCTGGGCCACATACCTGGACCACACACCTGGCTGCACCATTCTTGACTCTGCCCACTCCTTCAGCCCTGGCCATGCAGACATAAGTCCAGTCAACTCCACTTCCTGGCTGTCTCTCAGCCTGTCCTCAGCTCTTCCTCTCTCAGCCACCTCCCTCGTCCTGCCTCATCATAGCGCACCTGGATTTGTCATAACATCCTCTAAACTTGTCTCTCTGTCCCCAGTCACGGTCCCTCTTATCCATTCCTTGTCTCAGCCCTAAAGAGCCAGTTTGGGATCTCAGCATGCCACTCCCCTGACACCCTCAGGATGCAGCGGAGTGACCTGGGATTCCAGGCCGGGTGCTGGGGCTGTCAGGGGTCAATGCCTGGGCCTTGCCCTTGAGAGGCTCGCAGCTGCTTTGCAGCAGGGGGAGAGGCAGAGCGATTGAGGCGAGCCCTGCCTGGAGCATTGGCATTGTCTGGGGGATGCTTATCCTCTACCATGTGCCTCCCCAGATTGTCACCTTACCTGAGTACATTCAGAAGCGCTACGGAGGCCAGCGGATCCGCGTGTACCTGTCAATCCTGTCGCTGCTAATGTCTGTCTTCACCAAGATATCGGTAAGCTGCCCCCTGCTTCCTGCCACCTGGCATGGAAACATTCCGTCTGTGGGCCCCTCAAATGGACCTGACATTTTCTTACTCATCTCTGCTTTGTTAAGAGCTGGGCAAACAGGCCAAGAGAGGGACAATGACTTGCCCAGGGTCATGCAGCGACTCTGGCAGGTGATCCAGGGCCCCCGGGGTGTAGGCTTAGCAGCCAGCTCTAGTCGGGGACAGAACACAACCTGGTGACCTCTGCTTTGCCTCTGGTTCTAGACCCAGGGTATTAGGAGGATTCTCAGTCTGAGGTCAGTCCAGGGGCCGGCACTGCGGTGAGCCAGGACCTCCCACTAGGGGGCGCCAAGAGCCCACATGGTCTTGGCCATGTGTGGTCTGCACTGAGCCCACCTGCCTCTCACACCAAGGCTGGTGGGCTCCATCACTGACACCCTGTCCTTGGGGGCCTGGCATATCAACAGCAGGTCCCACTGGGATATTAAGAGCAGGCATACACCTTGAATGTCAGGGTCAGGAGAAGCATAGAGCTTGTCTTGTCTAAGCCGCTGACTTCACAGAGAGGCAAACCAAGGCCTAGGAAGGGGAAGGAGCTTGTCCCAACTCTCTGGTGACCTCATGGCAACACCAGGCCTTCTGTGCTCATTCCAAGTCCCTGGGGGCAGCCAGCTTCGTCCAGCCCCAAGCTTCTGAAGGGGCTTGGGTCCTGGAGCTGCCTGATTCTGGCTGAGGGAGCCGACACTATCCTCTGAGGCCCCCAGGCCTTCGTGTACCTGGGGCTCCTCCCCTTAAGGAGGGCAGCAGGCCTCCCATGAGGTTGGTGAGGGCTGCTGTGTCGATGGGAAGTGTTCAGCCTTCTCCTTAGAGGCAAATGCCCCCCGGGGGCCCTCTTCATTCAGCTCTGGGACTAAGACAGCCCAAAGAGGCGTCGGTTTAGTGGAGAGAATGGAGGCGCAGAGGCCAGAGAGGTAGAGGCCTTGCTGGTCAGCCAGGAGCTGTGCTCAGGGCTATCTGGGAATGGGGTCCTGAGAATGTCCACCCAGAGCCCCCACTGGGCCCCAATGGGGGTCCCTTGCAGCATCTGACCCATCCTCTCCTCTCCTGGGGTGTCCATCTGCACTGGCATTGCTGGGTGACTCCGAGGGGCTCCCCAGAGTGTCTCGTCTTTCGTGCGGGCAGGTCTCAGGGGTGGCCAGCAGCAAACCCTGTACTGCCGTCTTTGCCAGGTGCCCTTGGAGCACTGTAGGAGGTTTGCCTTCTCAGGGAGCCCATTTGAGTCCAGAGGGGCTTGGCTTTGGCCTGCCCATCAGGCTGAGTTTAGAGTTTTCTGCTCACACTCCCCCTTCCTCTCCTGTATCTCTTGGTCTCCACCCCACCCCCGTGCCAGCCCCCTCCCTGGAAGCCAGGATACAGAAATAAACAAGACCTGGCCCCAGCCTGTCAGGGGCTCACGCTGCAGTGAGGAGTAGATGAATGCCTGGAACAGACAGGCATGAAGCTCCGAAGAGGACACGGCGGGTGCTGGGGGTACATGTGAGTTGGACTCTGAGGGAGATGGGGATATTGATGTGGTAGGAGAGCAAATGATAAGGAGAGACGTGGGAAGAGGCAGGATGCGTCTGGGGGTGGGCAGGTCTAGAGGACTAGACTTTAGCGGTCACTAAGTCAGACACTTCTGGGGATCAGATAAAGAATAGTGTAGGGAGAAGCCAGGAGTGAGTCACAGGCAGTAGGCCGGGCGTGGTGGCTCACCCTGTAATCCCAGCACTTTGAGAGGCCAAGGCGGGTGGATCACCTGAGGTCAGGAGTTCGAGACCAGCCTGACTAACATGAAGAAACCCCATCTCTACTACAAATACGAAATTAGCAGGGCGTGGTGGTGCATGTCTATAATCCCAGCTAATCGGGAGACTGAAGCAGGAGAATCACTAGAACCCAGGAAGCGGAGGTTGCGGTGAGTTGAGATTGTGCTACAGCCTGGGCAACAAGAGCAAAACTCTGTCTCAAAAACAAAACAAAAAAAACAGGTAGTGGTGGGGACAAAGGCAAACTAGAGGCCGAGCCCCAACATTCACACACAACAGGCTCGGGTGCCGCATTTGCCTGTCAGCTGCCAGTTTTCAGCCTCTGGCCTGCACTGAGATGAGACAAGGGAGGTCTGACTGTAAGAGGCTGAGTGCCCAAGGGGCCCGGGTGGAAGGGGTGGCGTTTAAGCAGGAGAGCGACATGGTCGTGCTTATACTTTGTGCTCTCTGGAAACTTCCAGAGGGTGGACTGGAGGGGAGAGAGACAAGAGGAGGCCAGGCCTGTGAGGAGGCCCCAGCAAGGTCTGGTGAGGGAGGGCGGCTGAGTCGCGGGCACAGGGTTCTCAGCTTCCCCTGCCAGCTTCTCTGTGGTAGACATACCTCACACTCGGAGAGGGCGGAAAGTGGGTGTCTTGGGTGGGACTTCTGGAAAGGCAGAGGGGGCAGGTGCGGTGGCTCACGCCCGTAATCCTAGAACTTGGGGAAGCGGAGGTGGGTGGATTCCCTGAGCTCAGGAGTTCAAGACCAGCCTGCGCAACACAGTGAAACTCCATCTCTACTAAAATACAGAAAATTAGAACGTGGTGGTGGGTGCCTGTAGTCCCAGCTACTCGAGAGGCTGAGGCAGCAGAATCGCTTGAACCCGGGAGGTGGAAGTTATAGTGAGCCAAGTCTCCAAAAAAAAAAAAAAAAAAGAAAAGAAAGGCAGAGGAAAGAGCTCAGTGAGGCGGGAGGTCCTTGGGGACAATCTTGTCCAGCCCTCCAAGTTTACAGATGAGACAACCCAGGCCCAGGTCACAGTGAGCCAGGCCAAGACCACTGTCAGAACCCAGGCCTGTGCCTCCGGCCAAGAGGCCCAACCTCGGCCCTGCTACCCTGGAGCCGCCAGGTCGTGGCCCTTCAAACTTCACTTTGTGTTGGGGTGATTCAGCTCACCCAACTATAAAACAGGGAGCACCACTCACATCAAGGCTGTGCTTCAGAACCGACGCTGGGGCTGCCTGGGTGAAGCAGAGGGCGAAGCTCGAGGCACACTCCTTGCTGGGCTTGGCTGCGAGAGGACTGGGGCTACCCTGGCCATTTGAAGCGCACGCACCCTGCCAGTCCCCAGAGGCCCCGACCTCACTGGGCTGAGCCCGGGGAATGCCTCATGTGTCTGTGCGTTCAGTACCCGTCCCGGCCGCAGCCTGTGTGGACAGAGATCTTAGGGTGCGTGCTACCACCCCTCAGGCAGGGCACTGGCCCACAGGAGGACCTGCGATGACAGGGCATGGAGAATCACCAACCTGACCCTCAGATGAGGGGAACCATGTCCAGCTCCATCATTGTGAGGCTCTCGTCAGTCATTTAACCTCTGGAAAATAGCAGGACCGGGCACGATGCCCCATGCCACTTGCAGTAAAGGTCCTCCATGGGGTTGCTTCGAACTCTTACTGACCTCATCCCTCCCTCACCCCGTGCCCCCACCCTCTCCAGCCACACTGGCTTCCATGAACAAACCAGGCATGGTCCTGCCTCAGGGCCTTTGCACTTGCTATGGCCTCTGCCTGGAACCTTCTGCCTGGATATCCACATGGCTCCCTCACATCCCTCAAACCTTTCCACTCTCTCCCTCTTCACCCCCACCCCCGTGGGCTAGCCCCCTTCCTTGATCTCCCACAGAGGACTCTGAACGACTGCTGGCATGTGCTCCATTGGTGCCCTTGCTCACTAGTGCATTCCCAGGGCTGCCTCGTGGGTCTAGGTGAGAGAATCTATGTCAGGCAGGGTTCAGCTCGTTTTTTTCTGTGAAGGATCAGTGAAATAGTTTCAGCTTCACAGGCCACACACTCCTCAGCTCTGCCCCTGGGGCCCGAAAGTGGCTGCGGACAATCCTGGAAGGCAGGACTGGGCTTGGCCTGTGGGCTCAGGGCTGTCACTCTCTGCCCTATGCAAAGAGCCTACTTATTGGGCACCTGCTGTGTGCCAGGCCCTGGGTGAGCACCCCATACCCACAGATGGTTTCTAGAAGAGATAAGGAAACAGACCAAGGAAATCATAAAAAGTGGTAAAAGTGTGATAAAAGCAGCAAACACGGGCAGGGTCAGAGGAGAATGGAGAGAGGAGCAGGGAGTGGGCTCACTGGAGACAGAGCGGTCTCTGGGGGAAATGCCAGCCTTGCAGTGGCCTCAGGGTGAGAGCTTGGCAGGTCCAGAGCTGGAAGCTGGTGGGGCTGGGGCATGGGGATATGGAGGGGGTAGCAATGACCGAGAGCGGAGGGGTAGTGGGGGCCATGCAGGGCCTCTGCCAGGAGGGGGTGCACCTTATTCCTGGAATGGTAGAAATGCAGAAGTTCATGCCTGTAATCCCAGCAGTCTGGGAGGCCAAGGCAGGCAGATCACCTGAGGTCAGGGGTTCAAGACCAGCCTGGCCAACATGGTGAAACACCATCTCTACTAAAAATACAAAATATTAGCCGGGCATAGTTGCGGGTGCCTGTAATCCCAGCTACTTAGGAGGCTGAGGCAGGAGAATTGCTTGAACTCAAGACACGGAGGTTGCAGTGAGCTGAGATCACGCCATTGCACTCCAGCCTGGGTGACAAGAGTGAAACTCTGCCTCAAAACAAACAAAAACCAGAAATGCAGAACCCTAGGTTTTCCTCTGCACAAGCGGAATGCAGGAGGGACCAGTGAGGGGTTTGCAAGAGGATCCCGCCCAGGGTGGGGACAGCAGAGGTTTCGGCGAGTGGGTGTGTGTTTCAAAGAGTGAATCCAGAGCAGCGGCCAGTGGGTCAGAGGCAGGGAGTGTGGCAAAGAAAGGGAGCCCTGGAGGATGGTGATGACCTCCATGGACATGGGCAAGGCTCTGGGGCAGAGGACACCAAAAAGATCTGGGAGGAATCACTGTCAATGCCTAGTGTCAGTGCAGGGCCCAACCCAGCTTCTCTGCTGGCCCACGAAGGATGGAGGATACAGCCAGGCGCGGTGGCTCACGCCTGTAATCCCAGCACTTTGGGAGGCCAAGGTGGGTGGATCACAAGGTCAGGAGTTCAAGACCAGCCTGGCCAATATGGTGCAACCCAGTCTTTACTAAAAATACAAAAATTAGCTGGGTGTGGTGGCAGGTGCCTATAATCCCAGCTACTCAGGAGGCTGAGACAGGAGAATTGCTTGAACCCAGGAGGCAGAGGTTGCAGTGAGCTGAGATTGCACTATTGCACTCCAGCCTGGGTGACAGAGCAAGACTCTGTCTCAAAAAAAAGTGGGGGGATAGAAGATAGATACAAGTTCCATGTGGGAAGGTGGCCCAGTGGAGGCAGGGCAGAGGCCCAGGCCAGGGCAGCCAGAGCACTAGGATCGGTTCCCAACCTCCTTCAGCCTCAGACACGCCCTGGAGTGAAGTTTCCATTGACTGGGAGAGGGAGTGAGACTCCTTCATGCATGTGGGGAGCTTGGGAGCCCACCAGATCAGCCCCATTCTGTACCACATGGCCCACGCATCCTCTCAGCCTTGCTCCCTCCCTGCATGCTGGGCTCCCACCTCTGCCAGACCCCAGTGGTGGCTAAATGGTGCCAGGAGGGGAGAGGCCTGCTGCCAACAGTGTGTGCTGTCTGGGAGGTCCCCTGCCATGAGGCTAGCCAGCAGGAAGCGTGCGTCCTTGGAGCCTACTTCTTAGGAGGGTGGGACTCTGACAGAGTTGTTTCACTTCTCCATGCCCAGGTGCCCTACACTGTGGAGTGGAGTGGATTATCACACCCACCTGGTAGGGGGCCATGAGCACTGGGGGAGACCTGAAAGCCATCAGGGCAGCACGTGGCACACAGGCACATTTGTCACCTGTCAAAGGTGTCAAGTCAGCAGGGCTTCCTGGGAGATGACCAGGGATGTGAAGGGCCCGAAGGGTGTCTGGGTGAGAGGAATCATGAAGAGAGGAATCATGGGGGTCCTGCTTGGAGAGGAGGGAGCAGCAAGGTGGAAAGGACAGTGTGTGCAGGGTGAGTGTGGGGCCACATCACAGGAGCAGGCGGGAACCTCTGGACCATAGCCTGGATCAGGCTGCTGAGCTGGGGGGTGGATCAGTTGCTCTGGCCTTGTGGGTGGCAGCCTGGACCGAGGCCCTGGTTCGGCCTGTGCCCTGGGAGTGGCCCTTCCTGGGGGGAGGGGGAGTTCCCTGGTACAGTCTTGTTGATTTTGTTCCCAGAGTTTTGCCTCCATGGGCAAGTTCCTCTGCTCTCTGGGCCTCAGCCTCCCCATCCGTGCTTTCTAGGAGCTGGAATAGACTCTGGGCCAGGCGCAGTGGCTCACACCTGTAATCCCAGCACTTTGGGAGGCTGAGGCGAGCGAATCACCTGAGCTCAGGAGTTCGAGACCAGCCTGGCCAACGTGACGAAACCACATCTCTACCAAAATACAAAATTAGCCAGGCATAGTGGCAGGCACCTGTAGTCCCAGCTACTCGGGAGGCTGAGGCAGAAGAATTGCTTGAACCTGGGAATGGAGGGTGCAGTGAGCCAAGATTGTGCCACTGCACTCCAGCCTGGGTGACAGGTCAAGGCTCTGTCTCAAAAAAAAAAAAAAAGACTGTGCAGTTGCTCCCGAGTCACCAGGGAGGGAGGCAGAGAGAAGAGCTGGCCCTCTCAGATGGTCCCAGGAAGCATCCGGTGCTGGGGAGAGGCGGTAGAGGGGCTGTGGGGCCCGTGCAGGGACAGAGGGGCCGGGTGGCTGGCTATGTGTGCTCCACACCCACTTCCCCATGTCACAGATCAGGGCCACTGAGGTTCAGGGCGTGAAGTGGCTCAAAGCCACGTGGCTAGGACACGGCAAGCCAGGGACACAGAGCCAGGGCCGTGTGGGGCTCTTGGCATCTGTCAGACTGAAGCTTGCCTGGGCCCACAGAAAAGAGAGCTTGGGCTGCAGGAGGGGTTGGATAGGGCTAGGTGATGTCTGAATTCCTCACCCAGGGCTTCCCGGGAGTTGCAGGCAGCCGCACACCTACTGGGCCTCTAGTAGCAGCAGCAAACCTTCACTGACCCTATGTGTCAGTCAGTCTACAGGGGTGACAGCAGTTAAAGCCCTACCTCCCACGCCTGCCAGTGCCATTCCTGCACCTGTGGGACTTCTCTTCAGTCTTTGGAGCCCACTGCCAGGGAAGGAAGGGCAGGCAGGAGGGGGGCAGGAGGGAGGGTGCACGAGCAATGTACCCAAGGAGCAGAGGGACTAGCATGGCTGTTTTGAAAGATAAGAGGCAGAGACTGGGATGTTCCAGGACAGAGGGAATCTGGTGAGCTGGTGAACAGAGGCCTAGAGGCAGCTAAGTGCTGGGCACGGACTGAAGGACCAGGTGTCTGGCATGGGTAGAGCTTGAGGCCAGGCACACAGGGCCGGGTTCTGTCCTGAGGCAGCCAGGGTCCAGCTGGAGTTTGGAGCGGTGATTATGGGACAGAGGTTTCAGGGCTGCTGCTGTGGGCCTTCTAGAAGCCTCCTGCCCCCTCTCGGCCTTCCCTCTCCTGACAACTCCAATCTGATACCTACCAGGTACCAGCTTTGGGGAAGTCCCTTCCCTTCCTGGGGCCTCAGTTTCTCCTCTAGTCCCATGGGGCAGGGACTGGAAGAGCGTGTCCTGCTGATATTCAGCCCCTCTGCTCTTCTCTGCTTGGGCTGGAGGCAGATTCCACCCCACCCCCCACCTCACCTTCCCCTGAACTACCTGCCCTTCACACACACACACACACACACACACACACACACACACACACAGTCAAAGCCAAGGAACACAGTGAGGGGCCAGAGTTCTCCAGTTTCCAAACTGGTTGGTCTCTCTAAGACAGGGTGAGAGAAGCACCCGGAGGGAAAGTACAGGAAGCACAGGCTTTGCGGTCAGATCCCATCCCAACCTGGCCGGTGTCCCTGGGACTGGGGGAGGCAGGGATCCCTGCAGCTGGGCTCACTGGGCTAGGCTCTGGGGAGCTGGAAGGGGCCTAGGGCCTGCACTTTCTGGGCTGCTTGCAGATGTGCCCCCAAGTGAGGAGGTGCAGGGCCCCAGAGGCTGTGTGTGGGTCATCTCCCATCTCCTGAGCCGATGCAGAACAGTAGATTTAGGAACTCAGGGCTGGGGCGGGGTGGAGCCTGTTAGTAGCCCACGTCCTGGAGGACAGGCTCCTGCCCTCCCTCTCTGGGCCCCCACTGCCAGGTGGAGGGTGGGGTTCTTGTCATAAACCTCATGTCAGGCTGAGGCTGGCCTCCAGGCTAAGGTTCCCGCCTTTAGGAGGCGCAGCCCCAGGCTCTGGGAGGGTAGGGGCTGTGTGTGTCCCGTCAGTCCGGAAACCAGCTTCAGCCTGGGATCCAGCCTGAGCCGCTCCTAGGGGCTTACTGCCTTCTGCTCCCTGGCCGCCCCAGCACACGCGTTTCCTGAGAACTACTGGTCTTCAGACTCCTCACCAAGGTCCTCCTGGGAACTGAGGGGACATGGCTTCACCTTTTAATCCCTGTGGAAGGGGCCAGATTCAATAACAACACGGCTTTCAAGAAGGGCGTTGGCCACTTTGGACTTTATTAGTAACAGTAGCGTCCCTGATATCCGCACGCAGCCTGCAGCTTCTCCATGGCCAGTTCTTCCTCCAGCCTCACAATGGCCCCCGAGATGCAGGCAGGCGAGTGGGGGTCTCATCCCCTCATCCACAGGCCACTGAGGCCCAGAGGGGGCCCTGCCTGAGGTCACCCAGGGAGTGGCTTGCTGGAGCCCTGGGTCTAACATCGACCACAGCTATACACACAAGGCCCTCTCCCTCTGCAGCTGGACCTGTACGCAGGGGCTCTGTTCGTGCACATCTGCCTGGGCTGGAACTTCTACCTCTCCACCGTCCTCACGCTCGCCATCACAGCCCTGTACACCATCGCAGGTATGGCACCTACAGCAGGGAAGGCCAACCAGGGGATGCATAAAGGGGACAGAAGGCCACTTCCCCCTCCAGGCCCGAGGGAGCAGCCCGGGGGATGGCCCCAGCAGGAACCCTGGAAGTCCCTCCTTGCGCCCCCCTCCCTGGACCCAGGGCCCCTCCAGCAACCTTGCTTCCACCTGCAGGGGGCCTGGCTGCTGTCATCTACACGGACGCCCTGCAGACACTCATCATGCTGGTGGGGGCTATCATCCTGACGGTCAAAGGTGAGGATAGGGTCTGTGGCCATGGCGGGGCTGTCCCCACAGCCAGCCCTGTGGAGTCTGGCACTGCCCTGCACTCTGCAGGACTCCTGCTATTGGGGCTCTGGGTGGCATTGCTGGGTGGGTAGGCTCAGGAGGTTGAGCCACTAGGCAGTCAGCCCCCAGGCTGGTAGAGGCTACCCACCCCACTGCCCCGCTGTTACCAGCTCTGGCCCTGGCAAGGAGCTGACTCAGGACCTCAGGGCCAGCCACACCCGCAATTGCTGGTGAGGTGGGGCTGGAGGCGGGTGTGAGGCACACAACTGGGAGACCACAAAACTGCCTGGGCAGCTCCTCCAACTGTTTAAAAGCATGGACAAAATCCCAAGAGCTGATGCTACCTCCTGCAGGACAAAGGCCAGGGAAGAAAGGAGAGAGCTTGGAGAGTGGTGATATTAGTCTGGAACAGACAGTAAGCTCACAGGGCTGCCCGGAGAGTGAGCTCACCATCCCTAGAAGTATGTAAGCAGTGCCAGGAGGAGCCCGCAGACAGTGAACAAATCTTCAAAGACTCATCCAGACTCAGAGACCCTGTGGTTGAGCAGTTTCTAACCCTTGAATGGCACTGGTCATTTGCTCTGAGCCTCACATGAACTCTCAGTCTGAATACAGAGCCTGGCCTGGGCTCCATGGGGACAGTGATTCCAGGAGGACCAGCGTCCAAGCAGCAGGCTACCTCTTCCATGTCCCACTTGGAAAAGGCCAGGGAGTGGAGTCTGGGGTGGGAACAGGGGTTTTCCCACATCCAGGCTTCTCCCTTCCAGACCAGGGGCTCTGGTGTCCCTGGAACCCACTGCCTGAGAGGCATCCCAGCAGCCAGGCGCAGTCTGGAAGGGAGGTGAGTGACACCAACATAGACGGGCAGGGCTTGGCCGTGCAGGGCCTTGACCCTGAGGTAGACAGGACAGTGAGGTGTTCTGGGCTTGACCCTGCCAGAAGGGCTGTGTGGACTTGGTGGAGTCCCCACCCTTCTCTGGACCTCTGTCTGTCTTCTCTGTGCCTCTGGGGGCTGGGGCCACGTCACCACCAGCCACTCTCAGCTCTGCTAAAATCACACCCTTCAGGTGCCCCGGGTCAGGATGAACACTTGAGAAGCCTCAGGAAGGTCCTTGAATGCCAAGAAAAACTACTTTTGCTTCCTTGAATCGAAAATCGGAAACCTGGCTGAGAAGCTTTGCCCAAGGCCCGATGGGTGTCCACAGGCCAGCAGGGACTCCTGCCGGGCCAGCAGGACCCTGGGGTGTCCATGTGCAAAATGCTCACTTAACAGTATTATTTTAAATACAAATAAAATAGTCATTCAAATTCACCTTTTAAAAAAAACCCTCTACCGTCATACCTTTCCAAACTGGAAACGATGAGGTAGGAAAACTCAAGCTTGATGCATCTGCAAGTTTCTTGTGAGACGAAGGCAAAGGGAGCCCAGGGAGTCAGGGCCCAGGCACACGGGAGCCCAAACACCAAACCCTCCGTGTCCCATCCCGACCCCTCCAGCTTTTGACCAGATCGGCGGTTACGGGGAGCTGGAAGCAGCCTACGCCCAGGCCATTCCCTCCAGGACCATTGCCAACACCACCTGCCACCTGCCGCGTGCAGACGCCATGCACATGTTTCGAGACCCCCACACAGGGGACCTGCCGTGGACTGGGATGACCTTCGGCCTGACCATCATGGCCACCTGGTACTGGTGCACCGACCAGGTGAGTGCCAATGTCGCCTGCCCATCCCACCTTCCTGCTGTCCCAGCGGTCTCTGGCAGGCCCAGGTGGCCTATCTGCCCTCTGCACCATGAGTCTGGGCTGGGCCCTCAGAAGGTGTGGCTCCAGGCTGGAACAGGCTGCTAGGGGTCCTTGTGGTCCCGGGGGGCTTGAGCCCTCCGTTTAGAATCCGATGAGGCCCATTGGCTACCACCCGTCCTGGTCTTGAGGTGCTTCGACTGAGACAGTTTGGAGTACGGTATTCCAAAGGGACTCGGATGCTCCTCAGTGGCCCTGCCATCAGTCAGGGGGCGGGCATTTCGGGCTAGTCTTGGGCTGCCAAGATCTGGCAGCAGGCGGGGTCCCTGGCCTCCCTTGGCCTGCCAGTGGCGGAGGCCGGCCATGGCTGGGCCCGTGTTTCTGGTAGACCTCTGGACGCCATCAGCAGCAGAGTGGTACCTAGGGGGTCCTGGGAGGCCATCTTTATCCCTAGTCCCTGAGGCAGAGACCCCGTGATGGTGGAACTGCTGGCCCTAGTAGAGACAGAGGAGAGAGTGAGGCTGAGCAAGAAGGGCCAACCCTGCCCCAGCATAAGACCCTGCCCAGTCACAAGGGAGCCGGCAGACCCTGGTTCACCTCCTGGCTCTGCCATTCATCAGCAAGTGGGCCTAGACCAGTGGTTTTTGTTTGTTGTTTGTCGCCAGGCTGGAGTGCAGTGACACCATCTGGGCTCATTGCAACCTCTGCCTCCCAGGTTCAAGTGATTCCCCTGACTCAGCCTCCCGAGTAGCTGGAACTACAGGCGCATGCCACCATGCCTGGCTAATTTTTTGTATTTTAGTAGAGACAGGGTTTCACCATGTTGGCCAGGCTGGTCTTGAGCTCCTGACCTCGTGATCCACCAGCCTCAGCCTCCCAAAGTGTGGGATTACAGGCATGAGCCGCCACACCCGGACAACCAGTTGGTTTAATCACTCTATGCCTCAGTTCCCCCATCTGTAATATGGGAATAATCCTGCCCTTTGTGGGTATAGCAAGGCAGCTTCCTTGTAGCCCACACCCTCGGCCTCCTCTATCCCTACACAGGCCTGGATGTGGTTGGAAACGGGCTGAATGAAGTTGTCGGAGGCAGCACAGGGATTTCTGTTGCGTGCAGGAGGGTGACTCTGGTCCTGCCCCCAAGACCCTGTCACCAGCCCTCCAGGTGACCTCAGATGAGCTGCTTCCTGTCTCTGGGCAGAAGCAGATGGTGTCCTTGCTTTGCCTGTCCCAAAGGCTATGGGCAGCTCCAGGGAGCATATGGGTGGGAAAAGGCCTGTGAAAAGGTGGGCACAGGCCCCACGACTGTCCACGCCTCTGGACCTGGCCCCAGGAGTCCACCATAGAGCAAGGCAGCCACAGCCAGCCTCTGTGGAATGAATGATGACAGTGCTTACACAAGCCTTTTCCATGTGGCCTACCCAGCCAGCCCCATTCATAGGCCAGAGCAGTGAGGCCAGAGACAGAGCTGGATCTGAGCCCAGAGTGGAGTGAACTTCCCCTGGCTCCCAACTCGGCTCTTCCTCTCCCAAGCAGCACGGGCTCGGTCAGTATCTGGCCAGAGACCCTCCCTGGGTTCCAACAGAAGAACTGGCCCCAGCTGGGAGCATCAGAAGCTTTGGGAGCCTGGGCCTCAGTTTCCCCATCTATAACACATGGTCCTCAAGCAGGGCTCATAAGCTGCCCACATCAGCCATGCCCCATGTGAGTGCTTCCTAGGGAGCCTGTGGGCTCACAGCAGGCATCTGACTAGCTCTTCTGGGAGGGCTGAGGGCCAGCCCCAGTGGGCCAGGGACTGGTGAAAGGTTGGCCATGGAGGGCATACAAGGCATGTGGTACCCTACCAGGCTGAGCCCCTTTACCCCGGCTGCCTCCTACCTCCTCCCAGTGCAGCATGGGCCTGGCCTGGCACAGGCATCTCTGGGTGCAACATCAGTTAGGAGATTTTCCCATCAAGGTCAAACGAATCTGCACATGTCCTGGCCTTGGGGTCAGGGTTGGGCAGGCCCCACTGCACAGGTGAGGAGCCCGAGGCCCAGAAAGGATCACACAGGGAGGCGGAGGAGGGACGCCCCTGACCTAAGGTGGTCCAGGGCACCAACCAGCATCGGAGCCGAAGCCTGGCCTCTGCCCTGCTTCCCATTGTCCTCCCCTCAGGCTGGGTCTGCCTGGCGGACGCCCAGTCTCGGTTCAGAAGCACAGGCACTAGTCCTGCTTGAGGTTCCTGGTCTCTGTGTGGCGCTCACTAACATTGGGGCTTCTGGGGACACCTAGAGGTCTGACTCCACTTTGTTCTGTGGCGAAGGTAGCCCTCCAGGACCCCCACGGTCTAGTCAGAAGGGAGGCAGCAGTTCTGTGTGCTGAGATCATAGGAGCGTTTTTCTTTTTTTCTTTTTGAGACAGAGTCTTGTTGTCACCCAGGCTGGAGTGCAGTGGCATAATCTCGGCTCACTACAACTTCTGTCACCTGGGTTCAAGTGATTCTCCTGTCTCAGCCTCCCAGGTAGCTAGGACTACAGGCACCTGCCACCACATCTGGCTAATTTTTGTATTTTTAGTAGAGACAGGGTTTCATCATGTTGGCCAGGCTGGTCTCAAACTCCTGACCTCAAGTAATCCACCGCCTTCCCAAAATGCTGGGATGCCAGGCGTGGGACATTCTCTATCTTCTGGCTCATCCATCCATCCACAAGTAGGTGGCATTTTTCTAACCAGAAACAAAACCAGTGACAAAGAGGCAGAGGGTCCAGTGGGCAGACCCCGGGCCTGGGCTCCCGTCTGGGCTCTGTCCCTGCCTTCCCCCTGGGCCTTGGTGTCCCTGTCTGTGAAACAGGGCGGTGCACATACCAGAAGGCCCCCTGGGGTCCTGCCAGCTCTGTCACCTGCTGATGCTGCAGCTCCAGTCGGGGTGTCCTCCCTTAGTCAGCAGCAGTTGCCTCTGTCATAACAGCAACCACAGCTTTTGTGGGCAGCGTGCTGACTCTGATGGCCACACCCCAAAACTCACTCACTGAGAAAGGGACCTCATACCCACCGGAGGCGCGGGAGGAGCCAGGCAAGGCGTGGCCGGCTACACGAGCAGCCCCACTCTTAAGTCCTTTCAACAACACTCCTCATTTTGCAGATGAGAGGCCTGAGGTGAAATGGCCACTCGGGGAGTGGGTGCTGACATCCTCAGGGAAGAGGGCCTGGCTGGGGCTGGACGCCAGTGCTGTGAGGTGCGGTGAGCTATGGCCTGCTGACATCTGAGGGGAGGACGCAGTCCTGCTGCCTGACACTCGGGGGTGGGGAGAGCCTCTGACCTATTCAGGAGGACTGGCAGGCCTCATAGCTCATGGAAACTCAGCCTCAGCTTCTCCACCTGGGGTGACAGCACCTGTCCCAGGCTCAGCTGCCATGAGCACAAGTTGAAATATGGAGGCAACTGTCCCACCAAGGGCAGAAAGACATGCAGGGTCTTAGAGAAATGCTTATCTCCCAAGCACCTAGATAGAACCACCATCTAACTCTCTCTCATTTTTTTTTTTTTTCTTGAGACAGAGTCTCACTCTGCCACCCAGGCTGGAGTGCAGTGGCACGATCTTAGCTCACTGCAACCCCTGCCTTCCAGGTTCAAGCAATTCTCCTGCCTCAGCCTCCTGAGTAGCTGGGATTACAGGCATCTGCCACCATGCCTGGCTAATTTTTTGCGTCATTAGTAGAGACGGAGTTTCATCATGTTGGCCAGGCTGGTCTTGAACTCCTGGACCTCGTGATCCGCCTGACTTGGTGGAATTACAGGCGTGAATCACTGTGCCCGGCCCCTAACTCTCTCATTGGTTATTGTCCAGATGGGGCAATTGAGGTCCAAACTGAGGCAAGGACTTGTCCCACATCACCACAAGCTGGCAGAGAAGCAGGAAGGAAAGCAGCTTGCCCTGCCCCCAGAGGCCGCAGGCCCTCCCAGTTTCTGTAATCAATGTTTCCTCAACATCCACAGCCCAGGGGTAAATGCTGGGAGTTCTCAGTAAACCAGCACGCTTAGAAAATAAGTTAAAATCACGGAGGCTTCCTGCTTCTGAGTTGCAGGAGGTGACTTAAATTGTGGAACCACCAAGGAAAACTACTATTGTTTCAGAGTCGTAGGTCGTATAACTTTGTGGACACACTAAAAATCATGGGAGTGTACACTTCAGGTGGGTGAATTCTATGGTGTGTGAATATCTGAATGAAGCTGCTTGAAAAGTAACTCTTTTGAAGTAGAATCTTAGTATCAGAGCTGAGAGGATCTCAGACACTATGGGTCCGAATTACTGCTCCCTCCTCCCATCCTACAAATCTGGAAAGCCCTGGTTAGGATGTGCTGAGGCTCCAGAAGGGCTGGTGCCCTCAGGTAGCTTCTAGCCTCCCTCTGCGACTGAACGGCAAGCTTTCCCACCCCAGGTCTTAAAGCTCCTGAACTCTGCCAGTCATGCACACACAGTTGGCACTATCGTCTGCTCCTGGCGCCATGAATGTGCCAGCTGCTGTCATGAGAGTCCAGGAGATGAGGGTAGGGGTGTGGCGTCCCCGAGACCACCCCACCCAGGGTCTCCTTTAGCCCTGACAGTTGCCAGGGGTGGTGGGCTGGGCAGGATCACACCTCCCCTTTCAACAGGCACGGGGACTGAGTCCCTGGGAGTGAGTGTACCTTGGCTCCTGGGGCTTGGCCTGCTGGAGCGAGCTCTCCTGGTGGTTGCTGATGGTATCGGGGTTTGAGTGTGGCTGTCTTGGGCAGGTTGGGGGCTAATGGGACATCGTGCCTCATGCCCACTACCTGAGGCCCACCAAGACCAATTCTGACACAAGCGTCCCTCAGGCTCGGACTTAATCCCTTTCACCCTCCGACCCCAGGTCATCGTGCAGCGGTCACTGTCGGCCCGGGACCTGAACCATGCCAAGGCGGGCTCTATCCTGGCCAGCTACCTCAAGATGCTCCCCATGGGCCTGATCATCATGCCAGGAATGATCAGCCGTGCGCTGTTCCCAGGTAGGACGGGCTCTGCGCACTGAGTCAGGCTGCAGGGCACCCAGGCCTCTGGGTCCTTGTCCTGCAAAGGTCACTAGGAGGAGAGGTGAAGGATAGATGTGAACTGCTCTCCAACCTGAGCAGTGGGGAGCATGCACCTCGGAGCCACAATCAAAGGGATTGGCATGGATGTGGCCTGGCACAAGGTCGGGACAGGTATCGCTTACTCCTGTGTGACCTCAGGCTATAAATGAACGTCCTTGTGCCCCACCGTTTCCTCATCTGCAAACTAGGGACTGTGCCACCCACCTGGCAGGTGACATCAAGATCCTCTAACTACAGGCATTTGAGGCCTTGAGGTGGGGAAATGTGCGTTTCCTTAGGTTGCCTTTTCAGGCCTCTGGGACCAAGAGTCCCCAGTGTTAATGATGGCCTTCCATATGGCCCTGGGCGGTTCCCACCCTGCCTGTTATTCAGTTTCCCCATCCATAACAAGGGAATTGAAGTCATCGGCACCCAGAAGACAGCAGCTCGGGCTCTTGGGTGGCTGGCAGGGAGGGGCCCGTGACCCCTGGCGTGCGGGACCCAGACCTACCTGTGCCTCCTTGTCTATGGAGTGCTGGGCCTGTATCCTCTTCGACGCATCAGCTTCTTCTCTCCCCCGACTCTGGGCCCATGGGGAGCCACCCAGGGGTCCAGAAAAGGTCCCTCGGGTTATGTGGGGGGCACTCAGCTGCCGGCGTGGTGGCGGGATTGGCCCGTTGGCCACCTGCTCTGAGTGGCGCCTCCGAAGAGGGGCTGAGTGCTCTCTCACCTCAAAGTACTCCTCTGACATGGAGGAAGAGGCCACGGAGAGCCTCCGAGGTCCAGGGCCACGGCTGGAGCTGCCTGAGTGGCTGTCCTGGTCACTGAGGGTTACGTAGTCATCATCATCTTCCTCTTCCACCCCATCCAGCCCATTGGGGACCCCCACCCCGAGGCCGTCAGGGTCATCCTCAGTCCCAGACAGCTGCCGCTGGAGCGGGGTGTGGCCTAGGCCTGCCATCCTGGGTAGCCCATGGTCTGTCCCATTCTGGGGAGCCTCCTCTTTGGGGGTCTCCAGGGCCCAGCCAATACCACTGCTGTCCTGGGCTAGTACGTCTGCCACAGGGACTGTCCGGGGCTTGGGCACGGGGGGGGATGGCTCAGGGTTCCCCTGGGGGAGGCCGTTCTCATCTGGGACACCGTCCTGGGGGGCACCAGGCTCTTGGGGAGGGTGAGGCTCTGGATGAGGCCTGCTGTCCTGGCTCTGCTTCCACAGCTGGTGCTGGGCACTGGCCTGGGAAGTGTCACGGATCTTGATGCGGTTCATCTGGCTGGGCTGGGGGTTCCAGATGTTGGGATCAATGATATTGATGTAGCCCAGGATGTCGCTGCCAGGCTCCGGGTCTGGCTCTACCCACGTGGGCAGGTACTCAAACATGTTGGCCTTCTCCAGGTGGAGCAGCCCCGGGTGGACGGGCGGCGGCAGCTCGGGGAGATCCCCTGGGCGCTCGGCCAATGCCATGCCCTGCAGCCCTGGGGGCTTCTTGGCCTCCTGCTTCTCAGAGGAGATCTTGGCAATCTCGTCGACGCTCTTGGCTTTGACCAGTGCATACTTGGGGTTGACAAATTTCTTGGCTACAGTGCCCGAGGGCACCAGGGGGACCACAGAGGGCAGCACAATAGGCTCTGGCTCCGGCTCCTTCTCCATGGGGATGCCCTTGAGGCTGACGCTGTGTGACATGAGGTATAGCTCCTGGAACTGCCGGTCAAACATCTCCACCACCTGGCCAGACAGCACGGAGATCACGTTCCGGTCCGTCCTCGAGGCCGACCAGGTGAAGCTGCAACAGAGGGAGGGGCGCTGGTCAGGCACAGGGCTCCACTTCCTCCCCTGGCCCATGCACCGCTGCTGCTGAGCCTCAGACTGTAGCCACAGGGCCCTGGGATCAAGAAGTGAATGGGGGTAGAGGGGAGGGACATGCTGTGGGGTCAGACTGAGGCTGGGATGTCAAGCAGGTGGGTCACACAGAGCCCATTCCTGCCTCTGCAAATGGCATGGCACTGTGTTCCTCTCTGGCTGGTGCATGATTTGCTAAGCAGCTTGGGAAGGCCCTGGACACCATGCGTGGTGCTGCATGTGGTGGCCGCTACTGTCAGGTGTCTAGGCTGCTACCAACCCCCATGTGACCGTGAGTAGCCTCCTCCCCATGACCCGTGTGCTGGTCCCCACAGAGCTGGCCTCATCCTTGACGACGGCTCTCAGAGCAACCCCCTAGGCTTGCAAAGGCACGGCCTGGCCTAGCCACACCCCACCTCCAGGCTGGCGACATCTCCAAGCTGGAACAACAGCATCCTCAGACAAAGCCCTTCTCTGCCTGCCTCCAGAGACAGATGGGCAGGCAGGGGGGGCCCAGGCCTGTGCATACCTCAGCAGCCTTGGGACCAATGAACCGGAAAAACCAGGGTGTCATAAGTCAGGATGAAGGACAGAAGCCATCTGGGAACCAGAGGTACCTCTCCCGCAACTTCCCTGAAAGCCGAGAGTCACCTGTAGGAGCCGCACACAGCCCGGTCTCCATCCACAAACATGAATTTCTGGGCCAGGGCACCCTTGAACTTGGTTGCCGACCGAGTGAAGAACTCGGTTCCCCCGCTGCTCCGTACTCTGAGATTCTGTGTTGGGAACAATGAGACAGAATTATATGACCACAGCACCGATCACACAGGGCGAAGGGAGAACCGAGGCTGCCTGGGGCTCAGAGGGGGCTTCGGGGTAGTGAGGAGGGGAAGGAAGAGGCAGTGAGGCCTGGAGGAAGGGGCTGATGTGTCCACGACTGCAGGGCCTGGGGCAAGGAGGGACTCGGTGAGCTACGAAGCTACAGAGGGGGCAGGCCCCGGTGACAAAGCAGGTGGGATAAGATGGTCTGGGCCGTGGCCCCAGAGGTATCTGAAGAGCAGCACCAGGCAGGAGAGGCTTGCACAGCTGGCCAGCTTGGGAAGTGCGCCGTGATGCTGCTGAGGGTGGGGGATGCTGTGCTGGGGTCCTGAGCGGGAGGGTGACGTGCACACATTTTAGATGTGTCTCGAGGATGGTGAGGGCATGATGTGCCAGGGGAGGGCAGGAAGAGGGGCCCACCTTGCGGAATCTGGGCTTCACACTCCAATAGTCTGTGGCCCTCCAGGGTGAGTGGCCTGGCCCAGTCTCTCCCCTGTGCTTCTCAGCGCCCCTGTCTCTGCTGGGCTCTGCTCCAAGGGCAGGACTCACAGCAAACCTTTCTCCTTCTCCTCGGCCAGGATACCACCCCACACCCAGGCAGGCCCTGGAAATGGTCAGATTCAATTCCGTGCTGGCTTACACTGTCTGGCCCAGGAAGGCCCTCAGAGCCCATGCCACAGGGAGCTAAGACTAGTGAGAAGAAGGCTCCTGGGGGGTGGGGAGCACAGCAGACCCCTCAACTGACTTAGCTCCAAGGCCGGATCGTCACCGGCCTTTTCCTGGACCTGGCCACATAGGCCCCTGTCCCAGTGTGGAGTCTCTGGAGCTGCCAAGGGCCTGTGTGTTACATGAGGTCCAGGCGCTGCCTCCTCTCCCCGAGGTAGCAGGGCCTGTGGTGAGGCAGGAGCTGAGGGTAAAGGCTGGTGCTGGGCATGGCAGAACCCAGGAAGGGGAGGGCGAGCCTGGCTGAGACCCAGGTATCAAGGATGGCCGAGGGCATCCTGAAGTAGAACCTCAGATGTAAAGAGGACCTGGGGCTCATCTGGCTTGTGTCCAGGACTGTGTGTAAAAAATGCAGGCTCCTAGATGCCCTGAGGGTCTGAATCAGGAGGCCTGCAGTCTGGCAAGGAATCTCAGTTTTAACGCAAACTCCAGGGATTCCTGACTGGTCTGCCTGCATGCCTCCTGTGACGGGAGTCTCACTCTCTCCCGAGGGGTTCTGTACCGCCTTCTGGCTCTCGGTTATGAGATGTTCCCAGTCAGACTGAGCTGTGACTTACTGACCTGTCCCCTCACCCACTCACTGGCCCCAGCTTATTCACCCCACTCATTCACACAATCAACAACCCCTGCCAAGGCCCCCAGCTGCAGACACAGAGATGCCTATGATGAGGATCCCACGTTGGAGGCGCAGGGCAGGCAGGGAAGCAAACGGAAACAAACCGAGTGCCCGGGACTGCAGAGGAATCACCCAGCGGGGGAAGGGCTGGCCGGGAGGCTCCCTCGAAAGGATGACATGGGTCACAGTGGGAGGTGGGAAGCATTCCAGGCAAGGGACTCAAAGGTCAGGCATGAGAGACCTTTGTCCAAGAGCACCTGGGGGAGGAGGGGTGGGCGACAGAGCTGCAGAGCGGGCAGGGCCAGCTCCTGGTGAAAGACCCTGCATCTGCTGAATGGCCTGGGCTTGGCCCCAGGGCCACAGGAGGATTTAGAGCAAAAGTGATAGGGTTGGGTGTGCATCTCAGGAACAGTTCTGGCACCAGGGGTGTGAAGTGAATGCTATGGGAGAGGAGGGGGGCCTGAGAGCGCAGAACCGTCTGCCATGCCCTCCAGCCTCCTGCCTGCCTGTCCTTTCCAGGTCCCAGACCTCTGTGGCTGGGGTGGCCTCAAGCCAGTCACCACAGAGGAAGTGGGGTGTAGGCCCTGGGTGAGTCCCCGTCTGATGTCCACTGTGGGATAAACAATCGCCTTGTCATGGGGCCCAGTGAAGCCAGATAAGCCTCTGCTCCCAGGGCCGCCCTGGCCGGCCCCCCACCCCACAGGCTTCAGGTCTGCACATAGCCAGCTCAGCAGGAAGCTGGCCTCAGCCCAGGACAATTAGCGCTGGTGACTTTGTACCCAACACGGAGCACGCTCGGGGTTGAGAAGTCAGACAAAGATCCTGGAGGTGGTACAAGGCCTTCCCTGTCACTGAGCCCAACCAAGCCCAGCTCCGCCGCCTCCTGGCCCGGCCCCTCCTTAGCCTGGAAAATCAGCTGCCAGCATTAGCACCCCTCTGGACAGTGTCTGTCCCCACCCATCCCAAACCTTGTCTTGATGAGGGCTCCAAAAATCATCACTTCCATCTCAGAGTGACTCAGCCTCCATGTGAGCTGCAGGCCCCAGTCAGGCCGCTGTGTGACTCGAAGCAAGTCCTGGGCCCTTGCTGGGCCTCAGTCCCCCTTGGCACACAGCAGGGCGGGCCTCCAACTCTTCGGCCTATTCTACCTGGGGCTCAGCAGCAGGTGGGGGCCTGCAGCAGGGCCCCCCACTCCCTGCCTCGTGGCCTGCTCCCCAGCTTGTGCCTGGGTGGGCCCCACCCCATGGGGCCTGGCCCCAATGAGGTAACGTCTCAGGACTCTGGGCTCCAGTGCGCACAGATGGAGGATCCCACAAAGGCGTATTGTCTCTGAGCTCCCAGGACACCCCCAGCAGAGGATGGCAGATGGGTGGAGGAACGCTGGGGCTGGCCCAAGAGGGGTGCCCTGGGCAAGTCTTTGGACCCTCTGGGACCTCAGTTTCCTCATATGTAAGAGAGGACGTCAAGGGCGAGTCAGGGCAGGGGAGGACAGCTGGGTGGTGCTTCATCTGCTCTCAGGGGGTGCCAGAGGCTGGCTTCTGCCCCAAGTGTGTACGGGCAAGGGCGTCTCCAGGGCTGGGGCAAACTACAGCACCCAAGCCCGGCAGGCTACAGGCCACATGTGCTCAAAGGACACATGAGCCAACTGTACCAAGCCTGCTGGAGCCCAGGCCTGGGCTGGAGGGAGGCAGAGGGGGCTGAGCAGGTGCCCCTGGGCTAGAGTGGGTCTAGGCACTCTTAAGCTCCAGTCCTAGCACCAAATGGACACCAACCAAGGCCTTTCTCCCCGTGCCTCAGTCTTCTCATCTGTGAAAGGGCCCACTCAGCTGTGCTGCAGGGCCGCTGCGAGGACTCAACAGAGCCCCAGTGCAGGTGGGGCTCCCCCAGGAAAGGTGCCCAGCTCCCAGCGGGTGCCCCATGAACTCAAAGTGGCTCAGTGGGCTGTGGGGTACCAACACAGAAAACCACAAAACATCCAGGGTGGCATGGGTTCCCCAGAGAGCCAGGACTGTCAGCCGATCTGGGTGGGTGGGTGGTGGGCTCGGGGTGGGGGTAGTGACTTGCCCACTGTCTCCCAGAAGGCCTGGGCTGGGCCAGGACTGAGGACAGGGCTCCTATATCACCCACCTCCTCAGGGCCCAGCCAGCATCTCCTGGGCCGGTAGAGGAGTGGGGAGGCCCAGAGACGCATCCTGACCAGGTCTGAGCTGGGAATGGTGAGGCCAGGCCAGGCCTAGTGTAAGGAACAGAGCTGGACATGGCTGCTGGAGCCTGGCTGCCTCCACTCTCTGCCCCCAGTGCTGGCCTTCAGCAGCCTCCACTCTCCTCTACAGGGCCTGCCTCACTCTGTGGAGGGAGGGCGGGGAGGGGCGGCCAACACTCACCCTGGCCTTCTCCAGGCTGTTGTGAAGTTGGGGTGGCAGGCCCTTTGTGAACCTGAAGCACATGACAGCATGTAGGGGCAGGGCCAGCCGAGCTCCAAGGCCCTTGTCTGAGGGGTCCTCTCTCCCCTAGGCCAGGGCTCAGGTCCCCTTTTGTGTGGGACCTGTCCCCAGCGATGTAGGATGTTTAACAACATCCTTGGTCACTTGATGCAGGTAGTACCCCAAAGTGTGACAGTTACAAATGCCGGATGTCCCTCAGCAGAGTGAATGTCACTTGTTTGAGAACCCCTGAATCCACCACAGACCCAGGCCCGGGTAAAGACAGCAAGACCCAGGGATTCCCCTGGGCAGCAGAAGGGCTGGGTGGGGCCTCAGCGGCAGCGATCCTCAAGCCCTCACCGCGTGCCTCCCATGGCCATCCCAGCTGATGTTTCTGTTCATCAGAAATGGGAAGTGGGTCTGGCCTTTGCCCAGGGGCTGCTGGTTTTTCCAGTGGGCTGCACAAAGTCAACCAGCTTTTCAGATGATTCAGGCATCTCATGGTTCTCACCTGTCCTAAGCTGAGAGCCTCAGGCCCGGCCTGCCTCCTGGTGGACCAAAAGCAGCCAAGTCATGCAGCCTGGCCCTATGACCCTAGGGGGCGGGGTGAAAGGTCTGACCCTCTTCCCAAGGCCTGCTCCCCATCTGTCATTTGGGGTGACCATTCCCATACTCCCACGTGGAGGGCCATCAGGGGCCGGCCAGGCCGACCGTCTAGGGTGCTCAGGAATCGGAGTCCCATACTTGGGGAGACACTGGTGCATGCTGCTCCCACCTTACCTGGGGACCAGGAATGGGCTTGGCCCAAGCAACAGGCTGCGTTTCGAGGGTGTGCTCGTGTGGGCTCTACCTCTGGAGGAAGGAGCCAAGTGACAGTGAACTGCCGCCAGGCCCTGGCACGGAGGGAAAGAAAGCCGCTTGGCACTCAGACCAGAGCTGTGTCTCACAGGAGGCTGTGCCTGTCCCCAGCCAAAGACAGGATGGGAAGGGAGCTCGTGACTAAGAGCCAACCCCACACCCAGCCTCCTTCACGCTTCGCAGCAGCCCCGACAAATCAATGACCACATCCCCGTTTTTCAGACAAGACAATGGAGGCCTAGATTCAGGGACTCCGTCCAAGGCGACCATGCAGGTGGCACAGGAATTATATAAGGAGCTCAGGACTGGCTCCTGGTGTCACCCTCAAATGGGCACCTGACACCCCAAGGTCATAAGGATGGCCCCCAAAAAACCTGTACCCTGGGCCCATAGGAGCCAGGCAGGTCGGTGCAGAGCTGGGCAGGGGTGGCAGAGGCTGAGGGCAGGCCCAGGGATTCTCGGCAAAGGAAATGCGCCCGGAACAGGTCTGGGCCCAGCTAGCTCGAGGGGAGGAAGGTAGGCGGGGAAGGCAGGCCCTCCAGAGGGTGACACTTGGCTGGGGCTGGGCTCTCAGGGCCTCTGGCCACCTGCCCAGGGCTATGGAAGGGCAAGCTCAGAGGTGAGAAGGAGGGAGCCAGGTCATACTTTCCCATGGAGGTGTCCAGTTCCTGGATACGTCACCCTCCAGATCCTGCCACCTTCCTTCACTGGGGGAGAGAGGTGGTTGAGCAGGGCAGACTGAGTCAAGGACCCACAGTGCCAGCTTCCCTCCCCAGTAGAAGGGCTGGCAGTGGGACGGGCTCACACCCAAGCCCCTGACCCAGCCCAGGACCTGGGGTTTAGAATGTGTGGTTCTTCCCAGCAGCTGTATAACTTTCTCAGCACACAGAGCACTTTGCAATCACCATCTCCTTCAGTTTCACCCTCACACAACCCCGGGAGGCATCACTATGGCCATGGGCACTGGAGGCCCCAAGAGGTAGAGGCACACACCCAGGTCCCACGGCAGGTCAACGGCCAGTGAGCCGTGTGGGTAGCACCAGGGCAGCCTGCGCTGGCAGGATGGTTTTGCTTTTGGTTTTATAACGGAAGCCAGTGATGATTTCCCCGGCCCATGGTGGAATGGCCATTCCTAGGTTTAGTGAGAGTTGAGTAGCTGGTGTGAATGGGTGGGATGGGAATCCTAGAAGATTGACTGAGCCAATAAAAAGGAGAAGAGGAATTATGTAAGGGATCCGGTCCATCCTTTCAGCTCCGCACCATTATTATTTGCGGTTACTGTTTGTTATCATTTGTGGCTCGAGCACCAGGCATCTGCAGCCTCCTGTTGGAGCTGATTTCTCACTACTGGCTTTTAAGCGCCACCCCTAAATTGATGGGAATGGCTTTGGGCAAGGCATGGCCTCTCTCGGGCCTAGTTTCCCCATCTGTCTTGTGGGAGCCTTGTCTGAATAACCTCAAGGCCCCTTCAGGCCCAGGCACCCCAGGCCCCCACCTGCCCCTTCCCTTTGGCTTCCTAGAAACTCAGAACTCTGCAACTAGAGGAGCAGCCAGGGCTTCTCTGCTGAGAAGGGGCCTCAGGGCACTGGGTGGAAGGTAAGGCCTTTGGAGTGGCTGGCCCCAGCTTAGGCTCCCTGCTCCAAACTGACAGGCTTTCTCCCTGCCTGCATCTGCACACTGGGGGCAAGTGCAAAGCACTCGCTGGGCCTGGGCGGGGGCACAGTGCTGGGGGACCCCACTGGGGTCTCTTTCTGGGCACCGGGCAGGGCCAGGGCTTCTGAGGTCAGGTTTCCAAAGCAGCCTTTCCACACTGTGGCTCTCTCGGGCATGAGCTGTCTGCCACTGGAATAGATTCCCAGTGCTAATGACGCGGCAGGAGACGAGGCGGGCGTGGGGCTTGGGGCCAACCCACCAGAGAGAGACCACATTAAAAATGTTCCCAGAGCTAGAGACTCAGCACCAAGTGCTCACAACCACTTGAAAGGACTCGGCCGGGTGCAGTGGCTCATGCCTATAATCCCAGCACTTTGGGAGGCCGAGGCGGGTGGATCATGAGGTCAAGAGATAGAGACCATCCTGGTCAACAAGGTGAAACCCCAGCTCTACTATAAATACAAAAATTAGCTGGGCACGGTGGTGGCACATGCCTGTAATCCCAGCTACTCAGGAGGCTGAGGCAGGAGAATTGCCTGAACCCAGAAGGCAGAGGTTGTGGTGAGCCAAGATCGCACCATTGCACTCCAGCCTGGGTAACAAGAGCGAAACTCCAACTAAAAAAAAAAAAAAAAAAGAAAAGAAAAAAGGACACAGCCAGAGGTGTTGGGGTCGGGGTGGGGGTGCTTGACATGCTGACAAATTACAGGCGTGGAGCCCGGCCCCTTGTTAACCAGACTGGCAGTGCCCCTTCTCCTGGGACCACAATTCCCTAACCCACTAGGCTGTCGTGAGGATTAAATTAGCCAATGCAAAGTGCCTGCGGCGGGGCCTGGTGCACCCCCAATGCTATGGAAGTATTCGCCGTCATCATGCACACGACCTGCTCTCAGGGAAACGCTCTGCACACAGCAGGTGCCAAGCGATGGCTGGCAGAAGGAGGGCTCCAGACACCAAATGCCCAGGGTGTCTGGGCAGAAGAGCACTGGACCCGTGAGATCCTGTAGCCCAGAGAGGGGAGGTGACATGCCCAAGGACACACAGCAAAGCAGTGCTGACAACCACAGCCCACCCTGACCCCAACCACAGCATTCTCTGATCCACTTCTGTTCTGTGGCTTCCCCTCACCCAAAGGTTCTTTCTACTCTGCTCTTGCGTCTCAAAGTCATTTCAACTGTGCAACCATCAATGAAGCCTTCCCTGGCCTCTGTCTGAACCAGATCCTAAAACCAGTAAGTGGACATTCTAAGGAGACAGCTTTTAGCTTAACCCAAGAAAGGACTTCCTGGGAGTTGAAGCTCTCCAGATAGGCCTCGAGCTAGCTGAGGAGGGAGTGAGCACACTACCACCAGAGGTATGCGAGCACAGAGATAACCAGTGTGGCATGGGCTGCTCTGAAATCACACGTGAGGCATCACCTGGCATGAGCTCCAGCACCTGGTCGGCAAGCACCTAATCAATGTTTATCTTATCTCTGCCACGTTGGAGGTAGTGAGTATCCTGTCCCTCGGGGAATTCAAGCAGAGGTTATATGACTGCCTGGCAGGAGGCTCTAGGATTACTGGACTCAGTGCCTGGCACAGGACTCCTTCCAGAGCAGACGGAATGACCCCAGCCCTCCGGCCTGCTCACCTTGAGGTGCCCCAGGTGCATGCGGGCCCGCTCACACATGTGCAGGAAGTACTTGACGTTGCTCTCATCCACGATGATGTACACAGCCACTTTCCTCTTGAAGCCGGCATCCAGCAGGTCCTTGAAGATGTCCACATCGGTGAACATGTCCATGACCACAGCTATCACCTGGGGGCAAGAAGAGAGACTGGGGACTGTCAGGCAGCGCAGCAGTGGGGCAAGTCTCGGCAGAATGCACAGCTCTCCCGTGCCACCAGCCTCTCGTGGGTGCCCACTCTGGCCCCACAACTGGAGCTCAGGACCCGGACCAGGAAGTGAGGGGCCAGGGACCTTTCTTGGCCTGAAGTTCAAGCTTCAGTGCCTGCTCTGGGCTCACCCAGGGGCCCTGTGTTGGTGCCTTCCCAGGCCAGAGCCGGCTACACTCTGCCTGCCTCATAACACCTGGGGATGCTGAGATGAACCTGACGTGCCAATGCCCAGGGAGAAGGGTAGCAGCTGGCGTGGCAGCTTGCTGGGCCTCCCTTGCATCCCTGGGCTGGTGTGGACTTTGGTCAGTGCCCAAACCCAGCTGCTCTTCCTGTCAGCTGACAACAGCTGTCCCCACAGCAGGTGACCTCCTGCTGGACCTGGCTCAGGGTGGAGCCCCAGTAGTCAGAGTACACCTACCTACCCCCAGCCCAGCCAAGCCCCACCAACAGGGTAGGGGGTCCGGGTGAGTGAAGGTCCCAGGTGGAGCAGGCAGAGGGACAGGCTAAGGTGGTGTGGGCCGGGCCCCAGTGGGGCTCAGGGAGTCAGGTCTCTCTCTTGCACCTGGTCCCCTCCCTGTCCCTGGGCACAAGTGGGAGGAGTCAGACCAGGGCCTGTGCCTGGTCACAGCCGCCCACACTGCTAATACAGATACATGTCCCACTCTTGGGTGGGTGGCCCCATCCCTCCCACCCTCTGAGGCTGGCACCATCATCCCTGGCACCACAGGGATGATGACCATGTGGAGAAGAGGCCAGGGACCTGCCCTAGGGCACACAGCAAGCTGGGGACAGAGTCTGGCTACAGCCTACCCAGGTTTGCCAGGGAGCAGAACTCAGCTCCCACCCCCATTGTGAGACTGGCCTTGCTGGGATGCAGAGATTCCGGGTGATGGAGGCAGCCTGGAGCCTGCTGGGGATGTGTCTGCACACTCCACGGTGAGCTCACCAGGCTGGCCCCTGCAGGCCCATCTGGGCTCCTCCTGGGCCTCAGGCCCCTACTGACGCCCATTATTCATCTGACACCAAAGCCCAGACTCCAGCAGAGGGGAGGGCCCCACACCTGCCCTGCCTCAGACTCACTGTGTGACCCTGAGCAAGACATCTGGCTTCTCTGGACCCAGTTTTCTCATAAGTACATCAGACTCCATCTCTCAGGAGAACCGAGGAAACCCGAATGCCACAGCACCTGTGAAGAGCCCGGCCAGGAAGGGCTTGGTGACGTCCGTTTGCTGCCTGTCTCCTATAGTCACCCACACATTCCTGTTTACAGGGGGTCTTCTCAGCCTCAGTCCCGCAGCTTCTCACAGGCACCATGGTGGCGAGAGCCCAGCATGCAGCCGGATAAACTGAGGCTCAGTGAGGTTGTAAGGCTTGTTGGGTGTCACGAAGCAAGCTGGGCCAGGGCCTAGACCGACCCCTGGTCAGGTCAGAGTTGGTCTCCTGCCCCTTCCCTTGGACATTTAGTCTCGGAGGACCTGGGAGAAACGGCGGTCCACCCAGAGCGGAGCTGTGGGACTCCCGGAACTCTAAGGCCTAAGGGTCCTCTCTGTCCTCTGGGGAGACGACTGCTCCCTATCTCTCAGTCTCTGAAGAGCTGTTTTGGGGCAGAGGGAGTAGCTGGTTGATGCAGGGGCTACGACTGGCAGGGGAGACGGATGTGGGCACCAGACAGGGAAGCACTTGCTGCCCCCAGGGCTGCCCAAGGTTAGACAGGGATCTTGAGAGGGAGCTCACTCCCCAACCCAGGAGATGTTCAAGTATGGCCAGAGACTGCTTGGACAAGGGTGGATGAGAGGGCAGAGGACACACAAGACAGACAGATCACCATGACCTTGGACTGAGCCACCAGTCAAGGGTGATGAAACCCTGGGCGGGGGTGTGTGGTGGCAGCAGGGACCTTCCTGCCTGGGATCTCCCAGACCCAAAGCTGCTCCAGCCCAGGGATCCCCTTGGTTAAGCCACTCTTGAGCAGGCAAACAACCTCACATGCCACCCTGGAAAGGAGCCTAATGAGGGCGCAGCAGGCACACTTCTCCCTGGAGGGCTCCGAGCCCTGCCTACCATGGCAGATGGGGACTTGCCCTGGGCTTGGGCTGGGGGACATGCCCCAGCAGGACCTGCACCACATGCGCCATTCCCCACCTTGCCCTCAGCCAGGCAGTGTGCCTGATCCAGGGACCATCTGCTGTCAGGTTGGATTTGTTGGGGCCTGCACCCCAAAATGGATCCCCCCATAGTGCCAGCTTGCCCCAGGCATTGGGCTCAGTGCCTGGGATGGTCAAAGATGGGTTTGTAACAGTTGCAAGCTTATGTAAGGGGTGCCTGATGCTCCCCAGGCAAGCCCCTCATAGCCTGTCCTGTCCATGGAGCCACAAAGGTTTCTCGGGGACTGTTGAGTCCTGTCATGCCCCTCCCCATTTTATAGATAGGAAAGCTGGGATCAGAATCCACGATGAGGCTAAAACCCAGGGGACCACCCACCCAGAGCACCTTCTGCACAAGAGACTGGACATCAGTCCTGGGCCCTTGCACTGCTTGATGGTTCATAAGGAGCCTTGACAATTGTTACCTTATTCAGTCTTCACAAGCACACTGTGAGGCAGTGGTTCTCCTTTCCATTTTACAGACTAAGAAACTGAGGCACAGAGCCATTCGCTACCTTGCCTAATTCTGTTGGGAGGCCCAGGTCACTTGTGACACTGTGAGCTCAGCAAGGACAGAGCCCTTGTCTTGGCCCAGGATGGGACCTGGCTTAACGTAGGTCTCGGGGAGCTTTCCTCAGTTGAGGACAAGACCAGCTGGCTTGGCCTGGGAACGACTGCAGCGGTCAGAGCACCTGTGACCACAGCCCCTCCTGGGCCCTGGGTTTCCCCATCTGCCAAATGGGGCTGTGGGCCTGGCTTGCCCCTGTGGTTCTATCCAGTTCACACATTGGCAGAGCTGGCCCAAGTCAAGAAAAGCACCAGATGCCTCCTGCAGCCCCAAGTGTCAGGCACGTTCCCTCAGAGGTCCGGGGCAGGGCCAAGGCTGTGGAAATGAGACGGGGAGGCTGACTCCGGAGACCAGCTCTGCTATGTCCTGGGCCACACTGGGCAGGAGGCAGGTGGCTGGGTCCCAGCACTGAGCTTGTTCCACTCCTGAGGCTGGAACCAGCCATGCCCCTTGAGCAGCTGGCACGGGCAGGCATAGCAGGTGGATACGTCCATGTCCTGCAACCCATGCCCCGTTCTTGGAGCCGATGGGCAGCTCCCAGCCCAGCAGCCTGAAATCTGTGCCAGCCATGCAGCCTAGCTTGGCTAGGGGAAGGAGGGAGCCCAGTGGGCCCCGCCCATCTCACTGATGAACAGGCCTCTGCTGGGCAGGCTTGAGGCCTCAAAGATGCAGCTGCAGAACCTGGGAGGCCAATGCCCAAGACAACCATCTGGCTCCTGCCAGGGTGTGGGAGGGATGGCCATGCCTAGGGGGCAGAGGCAGGGGGGCTGCAGCAGAGGGGGACATCAGCAGGGATGTGGATGGGCACCGGCTCAAGTGGGCCAACAGGGAGCCTCCCCTTGCCCCGGCCCAGGCCTCTCCCTGGGGACTCCTGGTGCCTAAACGCCTCCTGCACGTCTGTCTGGGGTATCCTTTGTGCAAGCGCTCTGGTGCCCCACCCTCCCAGTCCCTTCTCCGGTGCTGTGCCCTCCCCGCCCAGTGGATCCGCCGGCCTCTGCACCCTGCCTTCTGCCTATGTCTCCAGACCCCTGCCTCCCTCTGTGTCCTGGGTCTGGTGGACATCCGCCTTTATGTGAGAGATGCAGAAACTGAAGCTCAGGGGGAGGGCATTGGTCCGAGGTGGTGCTGCATGTGGATCCCTGGTGCCCAGCCAGGAGCACCTCCATCACCTGAGCTGGAGTGGAGAGGTGACACAAAGGAGTGCCCCACCTGTGGCCACTGCCCCCCAGCAGACATGGCCTGAAGCCCAGTAACGATGGCTGCTGGGTTGGGGGTTGGACAGGGCTTTAGGTCACAGAGGCAGGGAGCACAGGTGTGGGCCTCCTCAATCTCCTCCTACCCCAGCTGGAGTCCCCTGAGCAAGGGTGGAGTGGGCGGAGTGGGCCAAGCAGCGGCGTCTGAGCTCTAGGCTGGGCTTTGGGTGAGCACACCTGCTTTCCAGGTCTCAGTTTCTTCATCTGTCAAAAGGAGAAGGTGACAAGATGTCTAAGACCCTTAGTCTCTGATGTCCCTGCCGAGGGACCCTGACTGGGCCAGTCTGGGCGGCTGGCACATCTCATCATGCCCATGGGTCTGGGAGAGGAAATGCTGGTGGCGGTTCTCCGCCTGCATCCCCACAGGGCTCCTGCCTCACAGGTGCCAACACCCACAACAGCTATTTCCCAGCCTTCCCCTAACCACAGAACTACTCTTGATGCAGAAGTGCCCTCATAGGGCAAGTGGGTAGAACAGGTATCAGCAGAGGTGCCCGGGGAGGAGGGGTGGGGTGAGATGGGCTGGCCTGGTTTTGAGCATGGTGGGAAACCAGTGGTGTGCAAGCCCAGCCTCTGCAGCAGCATCTCTCCAGGGGGCCCTGGCCAATGCGTCCCGACCCCTCTCCCCGACGTGTCCTGCCTCAAGCAACCATGTCTCCCACATGCTGTTCTCCTTGCCACCCGCGCATTTTGCATCTGCCTGGACACCTCCTACCTGTCCTTCAGATCCCAACTCAGATGCAGCCCCAGCCTCCCTGTCATCACTCTGGCCTCTCTAGGTTGAGTGTGGATCACATGTGCATTTCCTCTCAGGCACAGCAATGGAGTCTCCCCAAGGACTGAGTCCCAAGACTTGGTGAGAGGGGAGTTTCCAGCCTGCACGTGAAAAGCCCTCCACTTGCCTCACCCTCCCAGGCCTCAGAGGTCCCTAGAAGTGGCTCAGAGAGAGCCAGCC